TTTTTTTTCATCGACTGAAAAAGAATTTCTACTTTCAATTCTCCTCGCGACCTCGAAAAATCTTTTATTCCTGAAAATTCAGATTCTAATTGTTGTTGAATATTTTATTCTATTTATTCATTTTTGGGTGATATTGCAAATGTATTTTTCGTTTTTTCTTTTTTTACAAATTTTCAAGAAATTTCTGGGAAACTTTTCAGAATTTTTTTTTTTTTTTGAAAAAAAAATTCGGAAACAAGACAGTTGTATTTTTGGGAAATATTTTGAAAAATTTTTCAACAATTTGTTTCGCGATTTTTTTAAAATCATTTTCTAGAAATTTTTGTGAATATATTTTTTTTTTATTTTTTAAATTTTTAAATATTCTTAAAAAATACGCCATCTAAATTCTAAAAAAACCTTTTCTATTTAAATTTTTGAAAGATTTCTCAAAACCTATCGCAAAAATAAAATTGTTTTGTTTTCCGATTTTTTCGTTTCATAAAAAAAAATTTCCGGAAAGTTTTCCAGAATTTTTTTTAAAATTTGGAAAAAATATTCCGACTACAATTTTTTCACCCGTCCATCATTTTCCAACAAATTTCAATTATAATAATATAACATAATTATAATAATATATCAATCCTACTCAAAAATCGATAAACAATTTCTCAAAAATCGATTCATCGATTTTTATCGCGCTTACACTTAAGATGATTAAACAAAAGATTAAGATTGATTTAAATGATTTAAGATTAAGATGATTAAACAAAAGTTTAAACAATTTCCAAAAAAATAACATCCAAATATCGTCCCAAGGATTTCCACGACCTGTTCCCCGAGGATGCCGATTTAAATTCCAAAAAATGGTCTCCACCAAGAATGACTCGTCGAATTCCCGCGATCACTGAACCCCATCGACTTATCAAAGATTTTTTCCACCCGAGGATAATGCGAGCGCCTGGAGAAAGGCCTGAACAACATCCCCTAATGAATATTAATGAACTGAAAAAAAAAAAAAAGAAAAGACAAGTACATCATTGACGTCTTAATTGGATATCGACGAGAAACCCCTTACCACGAACAAAAACAAAATCCCCATAATTAATGACGAGCTAATGAAAGTGCTGACGGATAATCAATCCGCCATTTTGTTGTTTTTCAAATATATATCCAACAATTTTTATAATTATTCTGTTCCTTTGAGGGATTTCACACCGAACGCATGTCGCAAGTGTTTTACCATAAAAGTGTTGACGTGTCGTGTAGGTTGTCCACCATAAATGGTAGTTAAAATAAAAAATAACAACAATCTTATAAAAAATATGAAAACATTTCGAGAGCATTAAATGACACGCGTGGGATGCTATTCCTGATGGTTCTTTTGATAATGACAATCAATTGTTTTTAATATCCTCGGTAATTATCTCTCGTATAAATCTATCAATCAACCGATTTATCATCAGGTACTACCTGATATGGCGATCGACAATTCGTTCGCGCAATCAGATAAATTCCAATCGAAAATTAAATCGAATGATCATTTTTTACTCAGTCATTTTTAATTCACCTGAGATTATGTTTTTAACGCAAATTTAATTATTAATTCCTTTTGTTATTAAATCGTTAATATTTTAATCTAGGAAATTATCCTCGAACTCGTAATTACGGGGATCGGGGACTTATTTCGAAATATTGTCTCGGTGAGTCATAATTCCCCTCTTAAAGTCACGTCAGAATTTTAAATAATTACCCGGATAAAAAAAAAATGGAATCGAAATATTTTTTTTTTAATTTGCAAAAAATTTTTGGAAAACTTTTCAGAAATTTGTTTTTTGAAAAAAAATCGGGAGACAAAACAATTGAATTTTTGGGAAATGTTTTGAAAAATTTTTCCAAAATTTGTTTAAAATTTTTTTTTATAATTTTCTAGAAATTTTTACGAATATTTTTTTTTTTTAATTATACTGTTGTTTTCTTACTTTTTTTATTTATCTTTATATTTTATATTCATAAAAAAAATTACAAAATAAAAAAAATAAAAAATAAAAAAAAAAATAAAAAAAAATATTTTGAAAAATTTTGAAAAAATATTCGGATTAAAATTTTTTTTTTACCCGGATAGCTAAATGCAGAGACTGTGTCACGTGTTAATTAGTACTCGAGTAAAAAACAGGAATACAGGTGCTTTATCTCCCCTCCCACTCCCTTATCTTATCAGACTCCTCCCTGTCGTGTTAATGACCTTGTAAAAAATCCAGCGACTCCCACTTTATTTTCACACTACTGTCATCACTAATTGCATTTGGCAATCATCAATTATGCGATTGAAGCTATCAGTAAAAAGAGAAAAATTGCAATTGGGCACAATCGTCACGCCTAGAACGACCTCGACACGAATTACCTGTGCAATTTTTATTATTATTTTTTTTTTTATTACTCCATTGCGCGTAGGATGATCCCACCCTGAGATGATCTGTGACCGACAATCCGGAGAGTGAATGCACATGACATGTTCATGGAAGCGTGACATCCCACGAAATTTCGAAAGCTAATTGAATAATTGAAATCTATTTTTCATTATTTACACGATGTGGTAATTTTCGCAAATCAACCGATTTTTCATCAATATCTCGATAACGAAGGGAGATAGCGATATTTTGATAGATACCTTTTTTGTAGCTCTCACTTTTTTCTCGAAAACATGATTCCACAAAAAAATCGGTATGTCCCGTCAATTCCGAGATATTCCGTAAAATGTGGCACCGAAAAAAATTTACTCATCGCAATTTTCCACTTCGCTACGGAATTGTTATATAATTATTATAATAAAATACAGATACCAGTATATTATATATTAAATATATAAATATTATTATATTATGTATTATCAGGCGCCATTATATAATAAAAATCGAAATCTGAGATTTTGTCATCACGAAGTTGATGAAAGTGAAAAATTTTAATTTCCGCTTCCAAAATAAATAAAAAAATCCCCATTTTTTAAATCCATCGACTTATTCTCCTGCTCGATAGTAACAACAAGTAGTAATAAATAACGCCCTTCTAACCCCGGGGCAGTGCACTGCCTCATCGAGTAAAAACTAAAACAAAAAAATCAATCCAATAACTCGTTTTCCATATTCGATATCCCATGGCATCTATTAAATTTTCCGTCACGTACATCCGTTCTTCCCCGAACACTCAACTTCACTTTCGAACTCCCCTGGAATAAATAAACAAATATCGAAAGGAGATATAAAACTAGATAATAAAAATAAAACACCCAGTGAAAAACTGAAAGAAAAATAATCATGACTTACCATTCACCTCGACTCAGTATTAATGTCGGTATAATCACTGAACTGTGCACGTGGACTGTAAAATAAGTGATTGGAAACTGATAATTTAGCGGTCTCTTGTGTACACACATATTCTACCTAAAAGCGAAAGCCCCTGAAACGAAACACCAACTGGAAATATAAATCCATCTTGATGAAATTCCAGGTCTCATTCTCCAACTTTTTCACACTCAACGGATTAGCGATAGAATTTTGCATGCGACCAACTCTCGTCTCATTGTTTCCACAAGATCTCAACGTTTTTTTTTCATTCATAACTCGAGAGTAAATAATGTGATAATTGAACGGAGCAATGACTGATTTTCCGTGGATTATTATGACAGGATAGTTAGAGTGATAAATAACTGGTAGATGTCGTAAACTTTCTACAGAAGTTCTCAAACACTTTTTCTCCAAATATTTAGACTTCGAACAGTCGAAGAATCCCCACTGGATTATTTAAATTATAATCTTGGTATTAATTAATGGAATTTGAACCTGTAATTTATAAAAAATTATATTAGTTAATTAATAAAATTGTTTGGGGCGTAAGTAATGCCTCGGGATCAGTAATTATTGATCGATTAAGCCAGGAGGCATAATTAATCAACGTTAATTGATGAAATATTTATTTAACGTTTATTTGTTTATTTATTTAACGTTTATTTGTCGTGGTATTAAAAATACAGATTTCCCTGGAGATTGAATTAAACAAATTAATAAACACTCGGGAAACAAAGGAAGTGTTTAATTACCCTCTGTATTGAGTAATAACTCCGGTAAAAAAAAATTGTATGTGAAATAAAAAAAATTTTCACAATTTTCAAAAAATTTCTGGAAAACTTGTCAGAATTTTTTTTTTTCAAGCAAAAAAAATCGGGAGTCAAAACAATTGTATTTTATTTATAATTTTCTAAAAACTTTTGCGAATATAATTTTTTTGAAATTATACTCTTATTTTCTTACTTTTTTAATTTTTCAATATTTTCAAAAAATACGCCATCTAAAAGATAAAAAAAAATTCTATTTAAATTTTTGAAAAACTATTCAAAACCTTTCGTAAAAATAAAATTATTTTGTTCCCCGATTCTTTTTTATTCCATAAAAAAAAAATCTAAAAAATCGACCAGAAATTAAAAAAAAAAATCTACCAATTTTTTGAAAATTTATAAAAAATATTTCGATCGCCATTTTTTTTTTAACCTGGGAACCCATTCTTACCGAAGAATATCACTTAAAAAATTGAAAGTCATTCTGAATAAAAATAAATGATTTGAGATCTATTTTTCCTGTGGGAATACCCAAGTACCCAGATGTAGGAAACGACACAAGTGCATCGTCCTCTGGAGCCCGCCCCTCTGCCATCATATCATCATTCTCCAACGACTTAATACAGTCTAGTCATAAATTCTCAGCACAAATTCCCTCAGCCCGCAAATACATGTTGTTTAGACACCTGTGAATTACTCTCTTTATCTATTCACTCTGAATTATTTCTCCATGGATCCACCTAGGCATTTGACAACTAAAAATTTTTCGTGCTCAGTGATACCTGAAAAGTGTTCAAACAAGTGTAAAAAATAAATTACAATGAAATATCCAGAGGATAACGAGACTCATCTACTGGAAAATCATTTCAATTAACATTTTAATTATTCTATTAATACCCTTTCAGCGAAGATGAAACATCTTTGGCCGTTGGTGGCGTGGATTCTCCTGTCCTCGTGTCCGGTATGAATAATCACCGATAGTAATTAACTGCGTCATTTGTAATGACGTATGAGTAATTTAATAGACAAGTAGTAAAGAAAGATTAATGGAATTCCGTTTCGATGAATTTATCTCGAAAACCCTTGATTTTAAAAGAAAATGTCAAAACATCAAATATCTTCGAAATTCAATGACCTCCAAATAATTCCCCAACCATTTTTCTCTATCGTCGATAGCACTCAAGATAAATCCATCGCTTTACTATTTCGCTATTGAGTTACTGGAGTTCATTCAGATTCTCAAATAAATTTAAATAATTTAAAACAATTTATTATTCCAGGCGGATTCCATCAAAGGAATCGGACGTGGATCGAGGCGGGAGGTATTCTTTCTAAATCTTGAAGACGGATATTTCGGTTGTCAAGTTAATGCGTCGACGGATGTTCTGCAATTGCTGGAGCTGTCGAGACTGTGTGACGGAAAAAACGATTGTTACCTCGGTGCCGACGAGGACCGGGCCACACTGAAGTGCACAGGTACTCCTCGATGTATTCACACGATTTGAAAAAATTAAATAAATAAATAACAATGGCGATAACAAATGTAAGACAGTACAACAAATATCGCGTGACAGCACCATGAGAATCTAAAAGACTCTCCACCTGGATGAGCACGAGAACAGGGCGAGGAGGCATATAAAAAAAAAATATCGTAAAAAGAGTCACTGACGAGCATTAGCTCCATCGGTTTATGCTCTGCCATTCGTCTTTTTTTTTATTTATTATTTTTTACTTGTATTTCTTCCGCGTGGGCACCTAGTGTTACCGTTATGATACGTCTCTCATCACGCAGTTTGTGATCCACCAGTCACGCACACATTCCGGATATTTTTATTATTCTTCCTTATTATTAACCAGTTTTGTGCTGTTATGTGTGGACAGGGCTATCTGGTGAATTGTGATTGCTAGAGAAAAAATAATGGATGGGGTAAAAGATAGTTGCATTGCCCAGTGAGCAACAAGTGTTCGTGGAATTTATGATGGATTCAACAGGAATAGTGGAATTTTCATCTGAATCTTTTTTACAGATCTCATTTCGCACTACAAAAAAGGTCCCAAGAATGATTTCGTTATCTCCAATAGATTTCGAGATATTGAAAAAAAACTGGACTAGTATATTGCACTCACTCCCTTCACCAGTTTCCATTGAATAATTTTCTCTCGTTATTTTCCTCAGACGATTGTACAAAAGACGATGGCACAAAATGCCAGAATGGGGTGTGCCTTGACTCGGTGTGCCACTGCAACGATGGCTTCGGCGGATGCAATTGTCAAGTGCCAGGTGAGTACAGATAAAAAAAATCTACAAATCAAATCGCCGCACGAAAATTGTCATGTGAAATTGCCAATTTATTTTACAACTACCACGGTATTATTCCCGTACACCAGCAATAAAAAAAAAAATATCTACCGTTTCAACGTTTAAAATCTGGAGATGTTGAGCAACAGCTGTATCGTAAAACCATCACAACAATTTTCCATCATCCGAGTAACAGCACGAGAATCCGCACGATGGAATAGATAGCAATAAAAAAATTTAAATTATTTTACAGATGAAAACGAGTGTAAGTACAGGCCCTGTGATATTTTTGCCCACTGTACGAACACCCTGGGTGGTTTCCACTGCTCCTGCTACCCCGGCTACAGCGGTGATGGTTTCACCTGCGAAGGTAAAATAAAAAAAATAATAAAAAAACATCCGTAATCCACAAAGACTATAAAAAAAGTGCATAAACAGATACTAAAGTAAAAAATTTCTACGTGCAATACCTCATACTTCCTGAATGTCTCCATTTTACGTACAACCCAGAATTTGCGAGTAACCGTTTGACTAACGGTTGGTTATCCATACATAATCCCATGTATATATTTTTATATTGTCGACAGACATAAATGAATGCGAAGATCCAGTGTTGGCAGGACGATGCGTTGATAATGCCGAGTGTTGTAATTTGCCGACAAATTTTCTGTGCAAATGCAAGACAGGATTCACTGGTGATGGTGAGATACACTGCGATGACATCAACGAGTGTCAATACGAGGGTACATGCGGTGTAAATGCAATCTGTCAAAATACCATCGGTAATTTCACCTGCAATTGTCACGAAGGATTTACGGGTAATCCCTACAAAAGCGTGAGTATCCATTGATTATTCTTAACCAAAACCTGTGATATACTCCAATTATTTATAAATTCAAGTGTGAAGACATAAACGAATGCGCGTACGCCAACACTTGCGGTCGAAATGCGAATTGCATTAATCTGGTAGGTGCCCATCGTTGCGAGTGTCTTGAAGGATTCGAGGGTAGTCCTGATTCAGGTTGCACCGATGTTGACGAATGCACGAGAAGTCCCTGCGGACGTTCAGCATTATGTACGAATATCGAGGGAAACTTCAGGTGTTCATGCCCAGATGGAATGGACGGCGATCCCTTCACAGGCTGTCACGGTATTTATCAGAAAATATCAGACCAATCACGCTAATAACTGAATAATTAATAAAGCCATTACTCCGTAATTAATTGGGTGAAAAAGACATCAACGAGTGTGAGCTGAGCAGTCCCTGCGGAAAAGACTCGCAGTGCGTTAACAAAGAGGGCGGTTTCGAGTGTCAATGTCTCCATGGATTTCAAAAAGATCCTATTCTCGGTTGTATCGACGTTAACGAGTGCTCGAGGGACAATACCTGCGCTGCTAATGCCAAATGCATTAATATCCCAGGATCGTACAAGTGCATTTGCCCTCAGGGATTCGTTGGACAGGGTCTCATCCACTGCGAGAGTCAGTTATCCTTCTAACAAATTTATCATTAAATTTTCATTAATTATCACACTAACTGATTAATCTATTAACAGATGTTAACGAATGTAAGAAAAATCCGTGCGGTGAGAATGCCGAGTGTATCGATACCCTGGGAAGTTTTCAATGCAGATGCAAACAGGATTACACTGGAGATCCGTTCAATAAGTGCACTGGTTAGACTAACTTAAGTCCCTCATATACTTGAATCATTATTATCCCATCAATCCCACGAAGGATTCACCGCATCATCAACTATTATTATTGATTATTAGATATCGACGAATGCAATGTCCTGGAGAATCCCTGCGGTGTTAATGCTGTATGTAGGAATGCTGTGCCAGGTTACAGCTGCGAGTGCCCACCAGGATACACCGGCAATCCCAATCCATCAGTTGCTTGTGATCAAGTAATGATTTATCCATTCAATTCCGAATTCAATTATCATGATCCACTGGTTTATTGAGACTTAAATGATCCAGTGGTTGATAAAAATCATCTTTTGCAATTGAAATAATAAAATTGTTTAACGATCATCAGACTGACGTAACAACTCTCTGCAAATCGAATTTCGACTGCGTCAATAACGCGGAGTGCATCGAGGGTCAGTGCTTCTGCAAGGACGGCTTCAAGGCCAGTGGTGCTGAATGCATGGATGAGAACGAGTGTGCAGCAAATCCCTGTGGTCCATCATCGGTATGCACAAATACCCGAGGAAGTTATCACTGCGCCTGTGAGACCGGTTTCATCGGTACTCCACCGCATGTACCATGCAAAGGTATGCATAAAATAAATGAATATCAATATTTTTAACATCACCTTATAAAGAATATCCGAGTATTTACCCCCAGGACATCAACTCCAACTGAAAGATCCAACTTGATAACAGTTGGGGCTGGTCATGAGGAAGTTGTAAAGCCTTTCCCTTTATTCCACGGTGTTAAACCTCGATAAAAGTCTGTCTCTGAACCGGGCGTATTAAAATAATAGCCCCTCGTGGATGTTAAATGGACGATGGGTCATATTCTCGACACCCATCAGTATTAGACTATTATTTCTCTTTTTATCCCTCGTAAATTAAGTACTTGTAGCCTTACGTGTGATAAAACAGGCTCATCCATAACTTTCATTATGGTGAATTTTAATTCTCCCTTATTTTCAGCTCCATGCGATGATGTAACATGTGGTGAGCACGCATACTGCAAGCCTGATGGTCACGAGGCGTACTGTATCTGCCAGGATGGCTGGACCTTCAATCCGAATGACATATCAGCCGGTTGTGTCGGTGAGTACCATTAAATACCATCATCTCCATCCAATTTACCCACGTTATTCCACAAATGGTCAGACCACTTATCATCCACTCAATGTCCGCTAAATATCTCGATAAAATAAAAAGAATAAAAATTTCACGGTATTCCTACATTTTTTATCGATAATAATGCCATGTAGATTTTTTCGTGTCAAATAATCCGCGAAAAATCGATAAATTGCAGATATAAATGAGTGCGACGCTGTAAATGGGCCCTCAGGACGTTGCGGCAGAAACGCAATATGCACTAATACACCTGGAGGTTTTACATGTCAGTGCAAGCCCGGATACTCAGGCAATGCATTCAAGCAGTGCATCGGTACGTATTTACCCCATCTAGTATTAAATCCATGGAGATAAAAAAAAATCAAACGAATGATTAATGCGAGCGGTTTGTTTTCAAGATGTGGATGAATGTGCGAGAGGAGATGCCTGCGGACATGGTGCTAGTTGCACCAATACCGAGGGTGGCTACAATTGCGCATGCCCCGAAGGCACTATACCAGATCCAGATCCATATATTAAGTGTGTTGGTGTTGTTACCTGTGAATTAGATGGTGATTGCCCGGGTAATGCCATCTGCGATCCACAGAAGAGATGCCTGTGTCCCGAGCCAAATGTTGGAAATGACTGTCGACGTGGGTTTATAATATTTAAATATATTCATTCGTCCTAAATACTCACGCCTTTTCTTTCTCTTCTCTTCAGATCCGTGCGAAGACGTGTTCTGCGGTCCCAACGCCCACTGTATGCTGTTGAATGATATTGCCACGTGCCTCTGCAGAAATGGTTACACTGGTAAACCCGGTATCAAGGGGGGCTGCACAGATATCGATGAGTGCGCGGGTAATCCCTGCCCACCAGGCGCAATTTGTAATAATGAGGCTGGTGCTTTTTCGTGTCAATGCCCGAGTGGAACGACGGGGGATCCTTACATCGGTGGCTGTCAAAAATCCGATCTACCTCACATATGTGGACCTAGTACACCATGTCCACCTGGTGAACAGTGCATCAAGGATGAATTTATTGGTAACAGCGTTTGCATATGCCAGAGAGGATACACTCGTGATCATGAGACTGGTAAATGCAGGGATATTAATGAGTGCATGGAGCACAGGGATAAACCAGCCTGTGGTATTAATGCTATCTGCAAAAATTTGCCAGGAAGTTATGAATGCCAATGTCCATCTGGATTCAACGGAAATCCATTTACTCTGTGCGAAGGTAAGAAATGTTTTATATTTTATTTTTTCACTCGAGAACTCATGATTGCGGGAATACGCATCAAGAGAATTTATAGACACGCCTCTTTATTCTGAGAAAATACTCAATGCATTGCAATTTCAATAGAATTCATAATTTCCGCCATGTTTTACTCGTGAACACTGACACATGCTGGGATTCCCTTGATTTTCAGAATGCAATACAATCGAATGTCAGTGTCAACCACCCTACAAACTGGTAGACGGCAAATGCATGCTGGCTAGTTGCTCAAAGGGTGAATCCTGTCCGGCAGGCGCTGAATGCATCACAATAGCCGGTGGAGTAAGTTATTGCGCCTGTCCAAAGGGCTACAGCACGCGTCCAGACGGTTCTTGCGAGGATATAAACGAGTGTACAGAAGGCCGCCAGGTCTGTGGTTATGGCGCCGAGTGTATAAACTTACCTGGCTCTCACCAATGCATCTGCCCCCACGGCTACGGTGGTGATCCATACAATGGATTGTGCGCCCCCGCCCAGAAGCGGTGCACAAGTGACACCGAGTGCCGATCCAATGAGAAATGCGTCCAGCCCGGAGAATGTGTGTGTCCCCCTCCATTCTACACAGATCCATTGGATGGTAATAAGTGTAAAAATCCATGCGAGCGTTTTCCATGCGGTATGAATGCCAAATGCACACCAAGTGATCCACCAAAATGCATGTGCGAGACAGGTTACGAGGGTGATCCTCAGCACGGTTGTGTCGATGTCAACGAGTGTGCGAATAATCCTTGCGGTCACGGTGCCTATTGCATTAATAATCGAGGTGGACACATCTGTGAATGTCCACGTGGTACTGTTGGTGATCCATACGGTGGTGGATGCACTGGTGCAATTCAACCGCGTCAAGAGTGCTCGAGTAATAACGACTGCGACAATTATCTAGCATGTGTCCAAGGTAGTTGTGTTAATCCCTGCGAAAATGTACCGTGTGGACCCAATGCCTACTGCGAACCCGATAAGCATGCCCCCTGGTGTCGCTGTGTCGTTGGATTCACAGAGGGTAAAAACAATGAGTGCGTATCCCAGTGCGATGGCTTCATATGCGGTCGTGGTGCTCAGTGTATTGTGTCTTACGATGGACCAACTTGCAAATGCATCGAGGGATTCATGGGTAATCCCTTTCCAGGTGGTCAGTGTATACCCGATATGTGCTCACAGGATGTACCGTGTCTCGAGCCAAGTGTCTGTATAAGTGGTCGTTGCAAAAATCGTTGTGAAGGTGTTACTTGTGGTATCGGTGCTGCTTGTGATCCACAGACTAACAAGTGCGTTTGTAATCCGTATTTCGTTGGTCATCCAGATCTACTCTGCATGCCGCCTATTGAACCACCAAAGTGTCTCCCCGATTGTGGAGCTAATGCACACTGTGAGTATGATTTTCCTGAATTTAAATGTCTCTGCAATCCTGGAACAACGGGAAATCCTTATCAGGGTTGTGGTGCACAGAAGAAATCTGAATGCACAACATCCACTTGTGGAATTGATGCCCATTGCCATGCTAGTCCTCACGCTGTAGAATGCGTTTGTCCACCTGGTTACGCTGGTAATCCGTATATTCAGTGTCATGACATTAACGAATGCAATGGGAATGCTTGTGGGGCAAATGCCGTTTGCATCAACACGATTGGCAGTTACGATTGTAGATGCAAAGAGAACTTCTTTGGAAATCCCTTCATCGGTTGCTCCGCGGTACAACCTGGCCCCTGTAGTGATCCCACCACTTGTCGATGTAGTTTTGATGTACCCTGTCCCATGGATTATACCTGCGTCGGTGGTAAATGTATCAACAAATGTCAGAACGTCAAATGCGGCCCCAAGAGCGTTTGCCAGGATGGCAACTGCATATGTCCTTCTGGATACACTGGAAATCCAAATGATTCTGAAGGATGTCGTCTCATTGGCCATTGCTCAAACGATTTTGACTGTCAGCCCCAGCAGATTTGCTTCCAGATAGGTAAAGGGGTGCGTAAATGTGTAGACGCTTGTTCTAAGCTCCAATGCGGCCCAAATGCCCTGTGCATTACTCAGAATCATGTCTCCTCTTGTTTGTGTATCGACGGGTACTTCGGGAATCCCAGTAATCTCGTCGATGGCTGCCAAGTTGATAGGTCTAATGTCCCGGGAGGCTGTAAACATAACACAGACTGTCCAGTTGGTCACATTTGTCTGTTGGATAATGGTATCCATCAGTGCGTTAATCCCTGTCGAAGTGTGGTATGCGGTGCTCATCAGAGATGCTATGCCGACGCTTCAGGTCACACTTGCAAGTGTGAGGATGGATACGAGTGGAATCCAGTGTCATCAAGCTGTGAGAAGCCATCGGTACCGGACTGTATTCACGATGGTGACTGCCAGTCAATAGCAGCCTGTCGACCTGATGCCTTAGGTGTCCTCAAGTGCATTCCCATCTGCCAAACCTTCACTTGCGCCCCTAACGCTCAGTGCATCGCCAATAATCATCAAGCCACCTGCGAGTGCTTGGCAGGATTCTCAGGAAATCCAAATGATCGGAGAGGCTGCCAGAGTGTCCGTCAAAACAGATGCAACACCGATTCTGAATGCTCTGAAGATCAAGCCTGCAGATCGTCCGGAGATATTCTGGTCTGTCTTCCAGTCTGCAATTTCGTTACCTGTGGGCCAAATGCTCTTTGCGTTGTCAATAATCACGAGGCCCATTGCGAGTGCCCATTAGGATCATACGCTGGTGATCCAAACAATCCAATCAGTGGCTGCAAGGAAGTACCGTGCGTTTACAATATCGATTGTCCACCAGCGCAACTCTGCAATCGGTTGACCCACACTTGTCATAACGCCTGTAACGAGCACTCATGTGGCATCAATGCTGTTTGCATCCCTGACGATCATCGTGCAATTTGCCAGTGTCCACCTGGCTTCAAACCAAATCCAGTGGCTGACGTGAGCTGTGCAGCGGTGGAGGCTTGCAATCCAAATCCCTGTCATCCCACCGCAGTGTGCGTTGTTGGCGCTAAGGATTCACCAGTCTGCCAGTGTCAACCGGGACAAGTCGGTGATCCTTACGAGGCTGGATGCGTGCCAGAGGGATCTTGTCGGAGTGATAAAGACTGCCCGGTACACGCAATATGTCAGAATCACAGGTGCTTCAATCCATGTGAAAATGCATGTGGTCCAAATGCCATTTGTCAGATTGTCAATGGCGAGACGATTTGCAAGTGCATTCATCGGTTCGTGCCATCTGTAGAAGGACCTCAGCATGGGTGTGTGAGAAGCAGCACTTATTGTGGATCATCAGCTGATTGTCCAGATGGTAATTGTCTCGATGGCCAGTGCAAAGCTGTCTGCAGATCCATCGATGACTGCGCTGTGGGTGAAAAATGCGTCAGCAATGTCTGCGTAATTCCCTGCGTCACTCCGAGTCAATGTCAAGCAGATCAAAACTGTCACAACGGCGTCTGCATTCTCGGTTGTCGAAGTAATAAGAACTGCCCGGCTGATCAATCCTGCATCAATAGTCGTTGTCAGAATCCCTGCGCAAAGGATAATGTGTGTGGAGCAAATGCAATCTGCAGCTGTATCGAACACAACACCCAGTGCTTCTGTCCCGATGGATTCCAGGGTAATCCAACTCCTCAACAAGGCTGTGTCAGAGTCCCAAGCATATGCTCAACCGATCACGAGTGCCCGGCACAACATCAGTGCACTGGAGGCCTCTGCCAATGCACTTGCACATCAAAAGCCAATTGCGCACACGGAGAGAGATGCAAAAATGGTTTATGCGTCAAAATCTGCTACGGAAATGGCAACTGTCTACCTGGAGAGCACTGCGTCGACGGTATCTGCGAGGTTGGCTGCACGTCCGACGCTGGCTGTCGAAGTGACGAAGTCTGCATCAACGGAAAATGTCGCTGCAGTCACGGATTCATATCAGGTGGCGACAAGTGCATTGATGTTAACGAGTGCAATGAACATCCCTGTCATCCCACCGCTGAATGTGTCAATTTTCACGGAAGTTATCGATGTGTCTGCCCTTCTGGAACCGCTGGTGATCCTGTTGGAACTGGTTGTTTAATTCCCAATCAATGCCACGATAATAACGACTGCGTAGACTCGCAGGAATGTGTCGATCATACGTGCATCGATCCCTGTTCAATCGTCGATTGTGGTGAGAATACCATATGCTCAGTGATTGATCATCAAGCGGGCTGTCAGTGCCAGCCAGGATTCATCGGTGATGCCTCTGGCTGCTTCAAAGTCGAGTGCCTAACTGACAACGATTGTCCAACCGACAAATACTGCAACAGTGAGAGCAACAAGTGCTCTAGCCCCTGCAACAGAGTCAACTGTGGTTATGGAAATTGTGTGGCAGTTGCTCACAACGCCATCTGTAAATGTCACAAAGGCTTCGAGCTAGTTGGTGATATCTGCGTGGATATTGACGAGTGCCTCCATCATCCTTGTCATCCATCCGCAATCTGTCACAATACAGAGGGTACTTACACCTGCACTTGCCCACGCGGACTGATCGGTGATCCAGTCGAATTGGGCTGTAAGAAACCAGGAGATTGCTTCGGTGATTCTGATTGTCCAACGACAGCCGCCTGCATCGACAACACGTGTAGAAATCCGTGTGATGTTGCGGGCCAGCATAAACCCTGCGGTCGCAATGCCGAGTGTCACGTGAGAAATCACATCGTACAATGTAGATGTCCAGGACAGAGCCAAGGTAATCCCAGAGTCGAGTGCGTCAAGAATGAATGCAATTATCATAGCGATTGTGGTTCTCCCAATGCATGTTTCGATCATAAATGCGTGGATCCGTGTTCGGTGCCGAATGTCTGCGGACACGGCGCTGATTGTTCACCACTGAATCACTCGGCGGTATGCACTTGTCAGCCCGGTGGCACTGGTGATCCAAATCTTGGTTGCACACCTGTTCAATACTGCAAAACTGACAGTCAGTGTCCAACCGGGGCATCCTGCAACGGTGGAATTTGCACATCTCTCTGCACAACCGTTAGAGACTGTATCGCTGATCAATTGTGCATCAATGGCCTGTGCATGCCGACGTGCAGGACAAATTCCACATGTCCAGAGTATCAATTCTGTCAGAATAACATCTGCGTACAAGAATTTCGTTGCAGTGAGGATCACGACTGCGGTTACGACGAGAAATGCATTAAAAATAATTTGGGACAGGCCGAGTGCAAGCCTTCCTGCGATCTCATTCTTTGTGGAAGGAACGCTCAATGCAAATCCGACAATCACAAAGCCACATGTACCTGCGATAAAGGCTTCTTCGGTGACGCTTATGACGATAAAATGGGCTGTCAGCCGATAGAGTGCGAGAATCACGAACAGTGCTCCGACGAGAAAATTTGCGAGCATTATAAATGTAGAATTGCCTGTCTGGCTCACAATCCTTGTGGTCTCAATGCGATCTGCACAGCTCGTCATCACGATCAAATATGCACTTGTCAACCAGGATACACCGGAGTGGCGACCCAGGGCTGCCATCTTATCGATTTTTGCGCAACATCGCCATGCGCTCCCGGCGCAGTCTGCACGAACGTCCGTGGTACGTACAAGTGTCACTGCCAATCGGGCACTGTTGGTGATGCCTATAACAGCGGCTGTCAAGTTCCAGTGGAGTGCCTCAAAGACGCAGACTGTCCATCAACAGCCAAATGCATTGAAATAAATGGCATTCCCAAATGCGCAGACGTCTGTGCGAGAGTTAACTGCGGTCCAAATGCTGAATGCACAGCTATAGCTCATGCTGGCACCTGCAGGTGTCGTCCTGAATACGAGGGTGATGCCAATGATCTCAGAATTGGTTGCAGGCCACAACCAGTCGTTTGTTCCCACTCGCAGGACTGTCCTGCCAACACCTACTGCTATGAACACGTGTGCCGACCGTCTTGTCAATCAGACGAAGAGTGCAATCTGACAGACAGATGTTTGAATGGTGTCTGCATGGATCCGTGCTCTGTGAGAGCAGCCTGCGGTATCAACGCGGATTGTCGGGTAGTTAGTCACATCAAGAGCTGCAGTTGTCCCCCAGGATTTACTGGAAATTCCGAAGTTGAGTGCGTTAGACTGCCAGTTTCCTGTCACCGCCACGACGACTGCAGTCATGGCAACACATGTCGGGACAATGTTTGCTTGCCAGTATGCTCGTCTGATAATGAATGTGCGTTCAACGAGAAGTGCATCAAAGGAAATTGCCTCCTAACGTGTCGTCTGGATAATGATTGCTTCTTGGGACACATTTGTCTCAACAATATGTGCTCTTATGGTTGTCGGGCTGACGAGGATTGCAATGCCAATGAGGCTTGCTCTGGTAACAAATGTATGAATCCTTGCGAAGCCACACCGTGCGGTCCCAATGCCAAATGCACTGTGATAAATCAAAGAGCATCCTGCGCGTGTCCCAGTGGATTTATTCCGAATCCATCCGCTAGGATCGCTTGCTCCAGGAGTCCAGGTCCACTCTGTGACGCGAACAGAGACTGCATTCCAGGTATGGCCTGTGTCGCTGGCACGTGCTCACCGGTCTGCTCCTCCGATGCCAATTGTTTAAGCAATGAACGTTGTGACGCAACAGGAATCTGTAAGTCACTGTGCCGACAGGACGAGGACTGCAGGAGTGGTGAGATCTGCGAGGGTCTAGTCTGTCGTATCGGATGTCGGGCTGATCTCGAGTGCCCCGAGAATCTCGCCTGCATAAATAATCAGTGCATCAACCCCTGCAGTGTCACAGACTGCTGTGGCACAAATTCTGACTGCAGCGTATTCAATCACCAGAAGCAGTGCAGCTGTCCGCCACCCTTGATTGGCGATCCCCTAATAGGCTGTCGCAGGAGCTACCTGTCCTGCTCCACCGAGGCATCATGCCTGCCTGGCCACGTCTGCTACGGTCACGCCTGCTTTGCTGCATGTCGCAGCGACAGGGACTGCCTGAACGACGAACGCTGCGACCAGGGTGTCTGCAAGTCCATCTGCAACACCGACGATCACTGCTCGACAAATCAAATATGCGAAAATCGCATATGCGAGCTGGGCTGCCGAAGCGATCTCTCATGCCCGAACGACGAGGCCTGCGTCAACAACAGATGTCACAATCCTTGCGAGGGTGGCAAAGCATGCGGTGAATGCGCTGGCTGCAGAGTCGTTGATCACGACGCCCAGTGCAGCTGTCCACCGAATTATTATGGAAATGCTCTCGTCAGCTGTACGAAATCAATGATTCCATGCGACGGAACTTGCGAATGCGACGAGACTGGATACTGCGTCAAGAGTTGTGGAAGTAATGGAGATTGTTCATGCGGAGAACTCTGCGACGGTGGCAAGTGCCGGATCAAGTGCGACGCCAGTAATTCCTGCGCCAAGGGCTATATTTGCTCAAAAGGTATGTGCATTACTGGCTGTCGCACCCACTCCGATTGTCCATCCTCCCTCTCGTGTACCAATGGACGATGCGAGGATCCGTGTCTCGTTGGAGGTTCACCCTGTGGTATCAACGCCCTCTGTAGGGTTTCTAGTCACCGAGCGGTTTGCCTGTGCCCTGAGGGATATCAGGGCGAGCCCAGTCGAGAATGCTACCAGCTCGAGTGCCACAGGAATGAGGACTGCGATCCGAATAAACAATGCAGCGCTGACGGCGTCTGCACAAATCCCTGCCTCCAGCACGGCGCCTGCGGATTCAATGCCCAGTGCCGAGTCGTTGATCGCCATGCCCAATGCTCGTGTCCACCAGGACACTACGGAAATCCCTTGGTCAACTGCAAACCAGGTAAATTATGAATTCTTCACAGCTACATCTCTCTCCCATCTATCTTCTGAGTTGTCTTCTTCATCCTCTTCTTCCACTTCTTCTTCCACGCATCTGCTTCATCTTTCTTAGGGGGCGACGAGTGCCTGCGAAGACCCTGCGGTATCAACGCCAAATGTCGTGAGACATCGAATGGATTCGAATGCACCTGTTCACCTGGATGCTACGGTGATCCACATCAAGTATGTGTCTGCAAAGAAGGGGATTTATGTCGCGAGACCAGTTGTGGAGTCAATGCCGCCTGCAGAATATACCGAAAACGACCTCAGTGTTATTGCCCTCCAGAGTTCCCCTCGGGTGATCCCCTCCATGCTTGTATGTTCATTAACCGATTGTTTTGCTAGACAATAGAATAGACACGTATGAAGAATTGAATAGAAAAAATTTGGATTGAATTAGTGGCACAACTTGTCACAAATTCTATTTAGATTTTATCAAAATTGCTTTTTGCTCTACGTAAAAATGGGATTCATGTCCGATGCTTGCGAATTCATAGAATTATCAAACATCGCTAGATTTTTCTATTGAATTTTTCTGTACGATCGTGGACTGTGGGAATTATGATTATAAAATATTATAGGCAGCTCTGATAGAAGTGCACTTGACTGTCGTACCACTGGATGTGGAAAAGGCGCAGAATGCATCAGGGATGGGCCAATATTCGTATGCAGGTGTCCACCAGGTAGTGCTGGCTCACCTGACTTCGAGTGCAAAATAGGTATGTTCTGTCCCAGTGTAACTAACTTATTAACAAAAACGAAATTTTATAATGATCATTGTACAGTACTCATTGCAACTAGAATATTCATTTAATTCCAAAACAACTGAGTGATTCAAACTTACTGAAACACGTAGTGGATTGATTTATTGATTTTAATGTTTTAGTTTTTTTTTTTCACGTAGAGATATGATTTAATGAGTGATTATTAATACAGTGGAGTTCATTAACATTGAGAGACAGATGTGACTCCCTGGGTGATAACGATAATTACCCAAAAAATTTATTCAATCCGTTCATTAATTTATCTCCTTCGATAATGAGTTATTGTATATATTTTATCTATCGTGTTTTGTACATAGTGTTATTTTGTTTACACATTCATGCGTGTCTCACATATAACCGCATATGAAGAGTGTTCACTCGATAAAATCAATTCTTTCACTCAGCATTATCACTTCGATACTCTAGTCATTGACATTTCATCATCACGCACTTGTCACTCAATTGATGAACGATCGGTGAACACTCGTCATATACACCACATGCTTGAAAACAAAATCCAGTGGCCGGTGTTCTACAATAGTACATCCCAAAAATATATTTTCATTTTCTCCTTATACATTATTTCCAAGTCTGTCTCGGTGGGGCTTGTGTTGTAAATATACGCCTGGCTATTGCTACTGAGGAAACAATCGGCCCTTTAGTCAAACCAATTCGCGTATATTTCAATTGAAAAAACCAAAAAATAAAAAATAAAGATATTCAAAAAATAAATAAACAACACGCAAAAGCATGCGGTCTGGTGTTATCTGTGAGAAAGTGTTCCATAAAATAATATAAATATTTTCTCTCTATAAAAACGATGAACACCAACAATCACATTTCTTATAAATGCTTTTTTCTTTTTTCCTGTTCCCCTTCGCCCCTCTACAATGCACAAAAAAAAAAATGAAAACACAAAAAAAAAAATTAATTCAAAAGAGAGAGAATGCACGAGTGACTCGGAGTGTCCGAACGAGAAGGCCTGTATTAATCTCCAGTGTTTGGACCCATGTGCTTTGCGCGGTGCCTGCGGAAAGAATGCCCTCTGCCGTGTTATACTCCACAAACCCCGATGTACATGCCCGCAGTGTTACGTTGGTTCACCCCAGACCTCATGCAGACCAGTACCAAAATGCCAATCACTCCATCCACCCGAAAATATACCAATCGATTGCACAACAGACACAGACTGTCCAGAGAGTTTATCATGCCACGGTAAAACAGGTGAATGCCGTGATCCATGCACAACATCTGGCAATTACAATTGTGAATCAAACAAACGTTGTCAAGTACGTGATCATCGGCCAATGTGTGTATGTAAACATGGATTTGTCGTTAATGATATTGGTGAATTGACATGCGCACCCGAGACATCATCGTGCGCACGTGATGTTGATTGTCCATCAAATGCAGCATGCATTCACAGCAAATGTCAAAATCCATGTATGAATGGTAGAAGTAGAAATGGTCCATGCACTGATGGAAAATTATGCGATGTACTAGATCATCGTCCCATATGTATTTGCACAAAAAATTGCAATCCCACATTATCAATATGTCTGCGTGACAACGGCTGCTCAGCAGACATGGCATGCCGTAATTATAGATGTATGGATCCATGCAGCATTGCCAACTGTCCCGCAGATGCACCCTGTTACGTCGAGGAGCACAGGCCCGTCTGCAAGTTCTGTCCCCCTGGCTTCGTGCCCGATCCCAAATACGGATGCATGAAAGGTAAAACATAATAAAACACACAACGAAACCACATGTACACCCCATATAACACTCATAATCATCATCAGGAAAAAAAAATAAGAACCGATGAACGACGGACGGATAAACAGACGTTATCATATCATGACTACAGTTTTGAGAAAAAAATATTAAAAAACCAATGAACAGATCAATGACTGGGGGATTTTTTTTAAATTATACGAGATTATTTGAGTAATCCTTACCCGGGCGACTGTTTCTTCCTTCTTCTTTAGCCTTCTCGTTGCCTCTTCTCTCTGCATATCCAGACGGATAACGTGTGGTACTCTCTTCAGCCAATTATTATCAGTGTGCAAAAGGTAGTTCGAGTGCGGTGTTGTTCTCTTCTTGAAAAATGATTTTCTCCTGCATTGAGAGGCTTATTTCAGATTACCATGTGCCGATGGATGGATTTCCTCGACTCCCCACACCCCAAATGAAAGTTGCCAATGCTGTCGAACACTCAACGATTCTTGTAGACTCTGCCTGGATGAATTATCTATTTCTTCCGCCTCCATTGTTTATATCTTCCGTTACATCTGTCTCTGTAAATTCTCATAATATTTAATTTATTCCAGTATTATTCGTTATCGATTAAATTATTAAGTTTATGCTTGTTCTTGTCGATTAACGCAGATGTAAGGCATGACTGTAACCGAATTTTTAATCATTAGTCGTAGGTTAATTTATAGTGCGTTAAATATTCGCTTCGCTTCGGATTCTCCTTTGTTCTAACTTGTTCTGTGTCTTTATTTATTGTCTAATGAACTCAATCATTCGTTAAGGAGGATAACCGATTGTTGACTTATCTGGACCTTATCAGTATTGAAGATATCATTTTATTTTGTTACCATAATATCATGTCGACTTATCATTAATAATTAGCAAGGGATTATCAGAAAAATTCATCTATTCGGATTGAGCCCTTCGAAATTTTAAGATCTTTCATTCTTACTGATTCTGGTAGACGTCAAATGTACAACCCACGATGAGTGTCCACCACAGTTAGCCTGTATCAACGATCAGTGTTTGAATCCATGCACATCGGGAAATCCCTGTGACTATGTTGAGGACTGCCATGTCCAGGATCATCGGCCGGTCTGCGTCAAGAGTAAGATATTTTCCCCATTTCCACTTATCCCTCTGTTCCTGAATGATAATTATTAATTACCCCGAATTTCCAGACGATAAGACAGCAGGATGCGGCTATTGTCCCCTCGGCCACGAGTGCGACCCCATCACCAACACCTGCATCAAAGGTTTGTATCTCATAATCACATGTACATACTGTAACTGTAAATAGAACAAAGTAATGCACAAAATGCAATGTCTTGACTGTGATATACACGAAGAAATTCAATCCTAAATATCACTGGAGCCAACTCGAAGACGATATTTTGTTCAATTTTTATAACTTCCTGTTTTCCTCACACTTTTCATAATTTCTCCCTTCGAGTTACGCACGGGGTCTATATGGGCACTTTCGCCTTTTTTTTTTCTTTCTCATTTGTTGTGAATAGCCGGTTGCACGAGTGATCGTGATTGCGCACTCACCGAGACCTGCGTCGGGCTGATATGTCAGGAGCCGTGTCTCATCAGGAATCCTTGTGTCGCTCATGCTGTCTGCATCAATACCAATCACGGGACAGATTGCAGTTGTGAGGAAGGATATCATGGAAATGGATTCAGTCTTTGCAAAGCAGGTAATTTCCTTCATGTTTGCTCCCATCATCCACATAAATCATGAATTTCTATTATGATATATCCTCCAGTGTCGAGTGGTGGTGACGTGTGTCAATACAACGAGGACTGTCCGCCGAACAAATACTGCGACCGTTTGAACAGGCGGTGCCTGAATCCCTGCGCCGAGGACAACTGCGGTGAAAATGCCGAGTGTTACGCCGATAATCACGCCGCACAGTGCAGATGTCCCCCGGGTACAGAGGGGAATCCCCAAGTCTCGTGTGAGGCCAGTACTGGTCACAATCCATGTGTGCCAAATCCATGCGGCTCCTACGCCCTCTGTGAAGTCGATAATGGTGATCCCATCTGCTTCTGCCCAAAAGGTATGACTGGTAATCCATTCGAATATTGTATCCCCGAGGGCGACAAATGCCAGGGGAATCCCTGTGGTGCTAACTCTGGATGTCGCGTTGTCAATGGCCAAGTCACGTGTTTCTGTCTACCGGGTTACGAGGGTAATCCACCCGCTGCAATTTGCACATTACCGGAGAATCCGTGCGATTCATCGCCCTGTGGTCCGAATACTAGGTGCAGTGTCCTCCAGAATGGACTCGCCAAATGCACATGCCTGCCAGGATTTATCGAGTCACCAAACACCATTCGCGGTTGCATAGAGCAACTCAATTCTTGTGAACCCAATCCATGCGGTCGCGGTGCCATATGTGATGCCCTTCGACAACCACCGTGTTACTGTCCTGATAACACAATTGGAAATGCTTACAAAGGTTGTACGGAAATTGCAATTATTCCCCTTTGTCAGCCAGGTCCGTGTGGAGCGAATGCCGATTGTTACATTTCGGAAAATCGTGAGCAATGTTACTGCAGATACGGTTTCATAGGTGATCCGTACGCTGGATGCCATCAACCACCGTCAAGCCCCTGCCAACCGAGCCCTTGTGGTCGCAACGCGATCTGTCGGATCACAGATTCAGGCCAAGCGATCTGCGAGTGCGCGCCGGGAACTTCGGGAGATCCCACGAGTACCTCTGGCTGCGATAGTTTCGAATGCACAAAAGACGACGATTGCCTGCAATCCCTAGCCTGCATTGGTTACACGTGTCAAAATCCGTGTCTGGGTGCATGCGGTGTGAATGCCAATTGCCGAGTGGAGTCTCATCATCCCGTGTGCTTCTGTCGTGAGGGTCTCTTCGGGAATCCGATGTACAGATGCTGCAGACCGATGGATCCAGCCCCACCGAAGACGCCGTGCTATCCAAATCCCTGCGGACAGAATACCTTCTGTCAGGTTATGCAGGATCGTGCGGTCTGCTCTTGTCTGCCTGACTTCCTGGGAGATCCCCAGACCGGATGTCTTCCGGAGTGTACTATCAACTCTGATTGTCCCACGGACAAAGCCTGCATCAACATGAAATGCACAAATCCCTGCGCTCTCGGAAATATTTGCGGAGTTAATGCGGAATGTCGTGTGTCTTATCACACGGCGACTTGCACTTGCAACAGAAATTACTTCGGTAATCCCTTTATTATGTGCACCAGAAAACCAACCATCACAGTTCCTCCTCAATCAAATATTACCCTGCCTTGTCAGCCCTCGCCATGTGGTCAATACGATTACTGCGAGCCATTCAACGATAAAGTCGCAATGTGCGGTGGATGTGATGTACATAATGCTGGATGTAGACTTGAGTGCCTGAGTGACAGCGACTGTCCTCTCGACAAAACCTGCATCGGGGGCAAGTGCGTTGATCCTTGTCTCGGATCATGCGGAATAAACGCCAATTGCGAAGTCATCTGGCACGAGCCGGTGTGTACCTGTCCAATCGGACTATTCGGAAATCCCTATCAGGGCTGCATTCCTGAAGACGATCACCGCGACGCCTGCAGCGTCTCTCAATGTGGCGCCAACGCCGTCTGCCGGGAAAAACTCGGCTCTATCACCTGCGAGTGTCTCGATGGCTTCTTTGGGAATCCATTTATCGCCTGTCACCTCGAGTGCCTCCAGAACTCAGACTGCGCTCTCAACACTGCCTGTGTCAATCACAAGTGCATCGACCCATGCGTTGGTGCATGTGGAAGCAGTGCACTGTGTGATTGTGTGAATCACAATCCAATTTGCTACTGCCCGGAGAACATGTCTGGAGATCCATTCATCCACTGCTACCCACATACGGGAGTTATTCCGAGACCCTCGAATCCCTGCGACCCATCCCCCTGCGGTCCTTACAGCAGATGTCTCGTGTCACAAAATGGTTATGCATCGTGCTCGTGTCAGCCTGAGTATCGAGGCAGTCCACCCTTCTGCAGCCCAGAATGCATCGTGAGCTCTGATTGCCTTCAAATACAAGCCTGTATCAACACCAAGTGTGTCAATCCGTGCAATGGAATTTGTGGACACAATGCACTCTGTGTTGTAATAAATCATAACCCAGTGTGCAGTTGTCCAGCGAATCATGAGGGAGATCCATTCACCGAGTGCATACCACTGGCAAAGGAAGATCCTCAGCCGGTGTCTCCATGCCATCCATCACCCTGCGGGCCAAACTCTCTTTGCCAGATTAAAATGGGAAGACCTGTCTGCTCCTGTCAAAGTACATTCATCGGGAGTCCACCAAATTGCCGTCCAGAATGCTTGATCAGTCAGGAATGTCCAATTGACGAGGCTTGCATTGCCAACAAATGCATTCAGCCCTGTCCCCATAGTTGTGGGCCAAACTCTGAGTGCATGGTCATCAACCACACGCCATACTGCTCCTGTAAAACCGGATTTGAAGGCGATGCGTTCGTCGGATGCACCAGAGTAATCGAGCAGCCGCCGGAACCTGAAGACCCTTGCACTCCATCTCCATGTGGCAACAATGCCCTGTGCACTATTGTGAGTGGAGCTGCCAAATGCTCATGCATCCCTCCGTATATTGGAAATCCTTACACAGGCGGCTGTCGACCTGAATGCATGATCAATTCCGACTGCGATAATCATCTGGCGTGTCTGAATCAACACTGCAGAGATCCTTGCCCCGGTATTTGTGGATTCAATGCTCAGTGTGAGGTATCCAATCACATTCCAACGTGCTCCTGCCTGCGAGGATACTCAGGAGATCCATTCGTAAGCTGCAAAGTAGATAAGACACCAGGACCACCACAGAATCCATGCACCCCATCGCCATGTGGTCCCTACAGCATCTGTCGTGTTGTGAATGAACGCGCCGTGTGCTCGTGCAGTCCAGGATATCACGGGCAACCTCCCTCCTGCCGTCCAGAGTGCCTCGTGAGTTCTGAATGCGCACCTCATCTTGCCTGCATCGGTCAAAAATGCGGTGATCCCTGTCAAGACGTCTGTGGTCTCAATGCTCTCTGTCAAGTCACCAATCACAATCCAATCTGCAGCTGTCCCGACAACTATGATGGTGATCCATTCGTTCATTGCGCTGAATCGCCTAAAGTACCACCAACCAATCCCTGTGTACCTTCACCCTGCGGTCCAAACTCTCAATGTCGTGTTCAAAAGGATCGTCCTGTGTGTTCTTGCTCAACTGGAATGTTTGGGGCACCACCTAACTGCCGACCAGAGTGTCTCATCAATCAAGACTGTCCTAACTATCTCGCCTGTATTCAAAACTCGTGTTCAGATCCCTGTATCGGTTCCTGTGGGATAAATGCCAACTGCATTACCAGAAATCATCGCCCAATTTGTCAATGTCAAGACGGATATGAGGGCGATCCGTTCTCAGCGTGTAATCTCAAAGTGATGCCACCTGTAGAGCCACCAACAGAACCGTGCAATCCATCGCCGTGCGGTTCCAATGCCATTTGCAATGAGAGAAATGGCGCTGGATCCTGCACATGCCTGCCAGATTACTTCGGTGATCCTTACCAAGGCTGCCGACCAGAATGTGTTCAAAACTCCGACTGCCCTCACTCCAGAGCGTGCATTAATAATAAATGCAAAGACCCCTGCCAAGGAGCTTGCGGATTAAATGCTCAGTGTCAAGTGTTCAATCATCAGCCGTCGTGCAGTTGTTTCGACGGCTACACCGGAAATCCATTGACAACATGCTACATACGTCAAGAGCCACCGCCAACACCTGGTGATCCTTGCGAGCCATCGCCCTGTGGACCTTACAGCAACTGTCGTGTCATCGATTTTCACGCTGTCTGCTCTTGCCAGCAAAACTACGTCAGCAGTCCACCAAACTGCCGACCCGAGTGCGTAATCAGCGCTGATTGCCCTCAAAACAAGGCTTGCATCAATCAAAAATGCGAAGATCCGTGTTTAGGGACTTGTGGAATTAATGCCAATTGCCAAGTTATTAATCATAATCCAGTATGCAGTTGTGCATCGGGTTACACTGGAGATCCATTCTCCGGATGTCTGGAAGATCGAAAAGTGCCAGGCCCAGAGCCAGGACCGGATACCAATCCCTGCGTACCATCACCCTGCGGACCGAACTCTCAGTGCCGTGTTATCGAGGGTTTCCCCGCTTGCTCCTGCCTACCGAATTACATCGGTCGCACGCCAAATTGTCGCCCTGAATGCGTCATCAATGAAGAATGCCCTGGTAACCTGGCGTGTCAAAACGAACTGTGCACAGACCCGTGTCCCAACTCATGTGGCATTAACACCTTCTGCAACGTCATCAAGCACAATCCCGTTTGTAATTGCAATCCAGGATACACAGGAAATCCATTCATCGAGTGCAAGCTGCAGTCGTACGAGCCTACGACTACCGAGGCACCTAGAACACCCTGCAGCCCATCGCCATGCGGTGCAAATGCTGTCTGCAATGAGAGGAATGGCGCAGGGTCCTGCACGTGCTTACCAGAATATTTTGGCGACCCCTACATCGGCTGCAGACCAGAATGCGTCACAAATAGTGAGTGCGGTAGAACAAAAGCTTGTTTGAACAACAAATGCATCAATCCATGTACTGGCACTTGTGGATCAAATGCGTCCTGTCGAGTTGTAAATCACGCACCTTCATGTACGTGTGTACCAGGTTTCACTGGTGATCCCACGAGGGGGTGTGATATAATTCCACCAGCCACCAAATCTCCAATAATCGATCCCTGCCAGCCATCACCTTGTGGACCCAATAGCAACTGCCGTGTTCTACATGATCACGCGGTTTGCTCATGCATGACTGGATTTATCGGGACCCCACCAACGTGCAGACCTGAATGCACCATCAGTTCAGAATGCTCCAGGAGCAAATCATGCGTCAAGAACAAGTGCGTGAATCCATGTCAATCGGCTTGCGGTGAAAACACCAAGTGTTTAGTGGTGAATCACAGCCCAATCTGCACATGCGCTGCTGGTTACACTGGTGATCCATTCGTCTATTGTACCAAGAGCGAAATATCACCTCCTGAATCAAGAGACCCTGTGGATCCCTGTTCACCGAATCCTTGCGGTCCGAATTCGCAGTGCCGAGTCATTGGATCACAACCTGCTTGCTCATGCTCACCAGAGTACATCGGACGACCACCGAATTGTCGGCCTGAGTGCACTGATAACTCTGAATGTCCGACCAACGTCGCATGCATCAATCAGCGCTGCAAGAATCCGTGTCAAGGTGCCTGCGGACAGTTAGCGAGATGTTCAGTTCTCAATCATCTCCCAGTATGCTCCTGTCCTGAGGGTTTCACCGGAGACCCCAGCGTCGAGTGCTCACCACACATGCGCCCTGAAGTGCAGAACCCCTGTTCACCAAATCCGTGTGGACCCAATGCCCAGTGTCGAGAGAGAAATGGTGCGGGAGCCTGTGCCTGCCCTCAGGACTTCATCGGGGATCCGTATGACTCTGCCAGAGGGTGTTATCGAGAATGCGAGGCAAATGACGACTGTGCATCACACCTGGCTTGCGTTGGATTCAAATGCACAGATCCATGCCCTGGAACTTGTGCAACACTTGCTGTATGTAATGTTGAAAATCACGTGCCGCGTTGCTCGTGCCCTCCTCACTACACTGGAGATCCGTTCTTCTCATGTAATTTAGAGCCAAAGGAGATACCCGTGCCTGAAGATCCATGCTCACCATCACCCTGCGGTCCCAACAGTAAATGTAGAACTGTGAACGGTCAAGCCGTTTGCACCTGTCAACCAGAGTACTCTGGAATACCCCCGAATTGTCGACCCGAGTGCATTGTCTCCGCCGAATGTCCAAATCACCTCGCATGCATCAATAAAAAATGCCAGGACCCCTGTCCAAACACTTGTGGAGTGCGGGCTCATTGCAGCGTTAAGAATCACAGCCCCATATGCACGTGCCCAATCGGCTTCACTGGAGATCCATTCTCGGTATGCACACCTCAGGAGGAGCCCATGACAACGACCGAACGACCACCCTCGTGTGAGCCTTCACCATGTGGACCGAACTCTCAATGTCAAATTGTTTTTGGAACACCGGCTTGCTCTTGTCAGCCTAATTACATCGGTGTTCCACCGAATTGCAGACCTGAATGCACCCTCAGTTCCGAGTGTCAAAGTCATCTTGCCTGTGTGAATCAACGCTGTCAAGACCCGTGCACTGGATCCTGTGGATTCAATGCACAGTGTCACGTATTGAATCATATCCCCGTTTGTACGTGCATGGAAGGCTTCACGGGTGATCCGTTCGCTGATTGCTCTCTGGTGCCGCCATCAACGGAGCCCCCACGTCCCAAAGATCTCTGCAATCCTTCACCCTGTGGCCCCAACGCCATTTGTCGAGGAGGGGACTGTGAGTGCTCACCAGGATACCTTGGGAATCCTTTCGAAGGCTGCAGGCCCGAGTGTGTTCTCAATTCTGAATGCCCAAGGGATAAATCTTGTTTACGGAATAAATGTCAGGATCCATGTCCAGGAAGATGTGGACAGAATGCTGAGTGTGATGTCGTCAATCATATTCCTGTTTGCTCGTGTCTGCAAGGATATGTTGGTGATCCATTCGTGAGCTGCAAGCTTCAGCCATTGCGGCCAGATGACAGTCGAGATCCGTGCAATCCATCCCCCTGTGGCCCTAACTCACAGTGTCGGGATGTTGACACGCGTGCTGTTTGCTCTTGCCTTCCAGGGTATTTGGGATCACCCCCGATATGCAGACTCGAGTGCATCGTAAGCTCTGAGTGCGCACCAACTCGTGCATGTGTAAACAACAAGTGCACGGATCCCTGCCTGGGTTCATGCGGCCTGAACGCACGCTGTGAAGTTATAAATCACTCACCAATCTGCAGCTGCTCGCCGGGACAAACAGGTGATCCATTCAGAAATTGCTACGACATTCCTATTGTACCTGGGACCAAAGAAAATGAAAATCCCTGCGATGCACGACCCTGTGGACCCAATGCCGTGTGTCAAGATAATAACGGAGTCCCAGCTTGCTCATGCCTCCCTAATTACGTCGGAGCTCCACCCTCGTGTCGCCCTGAGTGTGTCATCAATCCGGATTGTCCATCGAACAAAGCCTGCGTCAATTCCAAATGCATTGACCCTTGCCCGGGCAGTTGCGGAGACTTCGCTGAGTGCAGAGTCATCAATCACGCGGTGACGTGCACCTGCACCAGTGGATTCACTGGAAATCCATTCGTCCAATGTGTCACTGAGAAACAGGAGACAATCAATCCCTGCGAGCCATCACCATGTGGACCAAATGCCATATGTCAACAACGTGACAACGCAGGAGCTTGTGTCTGTATCGATGACTATCATGGCAATCCGTACGAAGGCTGTCAGCCCGAGTGCATCCTGTCTTCAGACTGTCCAACGAACAGAGCATGTATTAGGAATAAATGTGGCGATCCCTGTCCAGGCATCTGTGGCACCAACGCCCAGTGCTCTGTTGTCAATCACATCCCCGCCTGCACATGTCTCCCTGGTTTCGTCGGCGATCCATTCACATCCTGTCGAATCGAAGACCCACTGCCACCAACTTCGCCTCAAGATCCCTGCAATCCATCACCATGCGGTCCGAATAGTCTCTGTCGTGCCATCAACGGTCAAGCCGTTTGTACCTGCCAACCCAATTATCTGGGTACACCACCCAGCTGTCGTCCAGAATGCATCGTTAATTCCGAATGCCCACAGAATCGTGCGTGTCATAAATACAAATGCACTGATCCCTGTCCTGGCACCTGCGGCATGGGCGCTGATTGCCGTGTCATTAATCACAATCCATTATGTAGCTGTCGATCTGGAACAACTGGTGATCCATTCACCCGTTGTCACGAACAGGAATACGCACCACCAACACCAAGACCCAGTGACCCATGCCTACCCAATCCCTGTGGACTCTATGCCGAGTGCCGAACAATTGGAGATCAAATAGCCTGTACCTGCCTCAATAATTACATTGGATCCCCACCAAACTGCCGACCCGAATGTATTGTTAACACTGATTGTCCATCTAATCAAGCCTGTATATCAGAAAAATGTCGTGATCCGTGTATTGGATCTTGTGGTCAGGACGCTGAATGCAGTGTTCAGAATCACATTCCCACGTGCCTGTGTCGTCAGGGATTCACCGGTGATCCCTTTTCACTTTGCACAAGAATCATTGAACAGCCACGAGTACCTGAAGACCCGTGCAATCCATCACCCTGCGGTGCCAATGCCCGTTGCGATGCTGGACAATGTACCTGCCTACCGGAATACATCGGTGATCCTTACTCATCCTGCAGACCCGAGTGTACAATTAACTCTGAATGTTCACGCACTAAAACTTGTATAAATCAACGATGTGTTGATCCTTGTGTAGGTACATGTGGTACGGATGCACGTTGCGATGTCATCAATCATATTCCAACGTGCAGCTGTCCACCAGGCACAACTGGCAATGCCTTCTCAGCTTGTCGACCGATAACACCGACTGTCACACCGACACAGCCATGTTCACCATCACCATGTGGTGCTAATAGTTTATGTCGGGTTATTGATAATCACGCTGTGTGCTCCTGTCAAGCTGGATTCATTGGCAGTCCACCGGGTTGCAGGCCTGAATGCGTTGTCAGCGCTGAGTGTGGATTGACTCAGGCTTGTCTGAATAACAAGTGTCAAGACCCGTGTCCAGGTACGTGCGGACAGAATGCCCAGTGTCAGGTTGTCAATCACAACCCGATCTGCAGTTGTCTCGAGAGCTTCACAGGCGACCCCTTCACCAGATGCTATCAACGACGAGGTAAATTCCCTATTTTTATTAAATGTGAAATGAGTAATTGCAAGAATATTTTAAATATTTTTCAGATGAAGAACCCTCCCAACCGATTAATCCGTGTCAACCATCGCCATGTGGTCCAAATTCCGAGTGTAACGTGCGCGGAGAGAGTCCCGCGTGCTCTTGCTCGCAAAATTATATCGGTACACCACCTAATTGTCGTCCTGAATGTACAATAAATCCGGAGTGCGCGTCAAATCTCGCATGTATTCAACAAAAGTGTCGAGATCCGTGTGCGGGTTTGTGCGGTATTGGTGCGGGTTGTACAGTAGTTAATCATCACGCCGTATGTTCCTGCTCAGAAGGCTTCACTGGTGATCCATTCAGCAACTGTATCCCAGCGCCGAAAGGTGAGTCAAATTATTACAAAACAGTTATTTTTCACTGCATGAAATTGAAAAAAGCGGTGTTGGTTCAGAAGGTAAGTGCTTGATCATTACGATAATCAAAAGCTTTTTTAAAAAATAAATCGCTGCTTCATTTGTGATTGATCAATTCAACAGTCACATGCCCTCACCCATAAAAAACGACCATGTAGTAGCACAAATATATTAGCCTGCGAATTTCGATATGACACACGCCTGATCATCCCTCAAGCGATTAACCCGTCTTCATCCCCTGAAGACTTGGCAAAAACTCGTTAAGCATTAAGTTCATAATTATCCGCCTAGAGCGAGCGTTAATGCTATCAACTAATCTAGGCCAGAATAAATCCCAAAATAAGTCCTAAATCCGCACCCTCAAGCGCTCACTCATCATTAATTATAAGTCCACCAAAAAGGCACCCTACAACCCCCAATAACCCAAATTCCGCCATTAATGCAAGCACAAAAAAATACCGCAATAGAATTATCGATCGCCAATCGAACCGCCGTACTTAAACACGTGCACGAGCTACAGTACCACAAGCCAAAAGAAAAAAGTATCACATGACTCACAAGCTAGCAAAAAATTTAACCCAAAATTAATGAGAAAGAACATTCCACCCCTGTAGCACCCGAAGTGAGGAATCCCTGTTCACCATCACCATGTGGTCCCAACGCAATTTGTCGTGAATCGAATGGAGCTGGCTCCTGCTCCTGTCCACCAGATTATATCGGAGACCCGTACGAAGGTTGCAAGCCCGAGTGCATATTAAATTCCGATTGCCCATCAAATCTCGCCTGCATCAGATCCAAATGCCAGGATCCCTGTCCCGGTACTTGTGCCCAGAATGCTGATTGCCGAGTTATCAATCATTTACCAAGTTGCACATGCCTGGAAGGTTACAGCGGTGATCCCTTCCGTTTTTGCAACATCAAGGAAGCTGATGGTAATATTTTTCCCGAAGAAATACAAATCGTTGAGATAGACGTGTCATTTGGTGAACATTCCATAGAAACTCCTCGAGACCCCTGTCAGCCCTCACCCTGTGGACCCAACAGCCAATGTCGAGTGATAAATGGCCAAGCAGTTTGCTCCTGTCAGCCCCAGTACCTAGGAACTCCACCGTCATGTCGTCCCGAATGTACAGTTAGCTCTGAATGCCCATTGGATCAAGCCTGTGTTAATCAGAAATGCATCAATCCCTGTCCTGCATCGTGCGGCATCAATACCGAATGCAAAGTCATCAATCATAGCCCCATCTGCAGCTGTGGATCAGGATTCACTGGAAATCCATTTACCCGATGCTATTCCGAGCCAAGTAAGACGAGAGGTGATAATTGATGTAGGATTTGGTTAGATCAATTGTTATTTTTTCAGAGCCCCTGCCACTACCACCAACCAATCCATGTGTGCCCTCACCCTGTGGCCCCAATGCTCAGTGTCGGGAGATTGGTGAATTCCCATCATGCTCTTGTCTACCCAATTTCAATGGAAGCCCTCCCAACTGTCGTCCTGAGTGCACCGTCCAGTCAGATTGCCCCAGTAATCAGGCATGTATTAATCAGAAGTGCAGGGATCCATGCCCAGGATCATGTGGATTATTTGCACAGTGCACTGTTATCAATCATACCCCGGTGTGCAGATGTCTTGATGGATACACCGGAGATGCTTTCACCAATTGTGTCCCCCGTCCTACACCACGTAAGAACGTTGCATCCTTTCCGCTCTATTCCCTGAATCCTGGAAATATAAATTTTTATTTATTTACTAGCGAGTGACGACGTGCAGAGGGATCCCTGTAACCCATCGCCCTGTGGAGCAAATGCTCAATGCCGAAGTGGTCAGTGCTCTTGTCTCCCTGAATACCAAGGTGACCCATACTCTGGGTGCAGACCTGAATGCGTTTTAAATTCTGATTGCCCATTGCATCGTGCATGCATGAGACACAAATGCGTCGATCCCTGTCCGGGGATATGCGGTCAGAATGCCATCTGCAATGTTTTCAATCATATCCCCATGTGCAGTTGCCCTGATAGAATGTCCGGCAATGCTTTTGTCTTGTGTTCCCCATTCAAAGGTAATTATTTATCCTCAATTAGATGCCACAACGATTGTCAAAAATCCACCGTCTCACTCTCACAAAATCAATTATCAATAATTTAGAACCAAATGTTGCCAATACTTCTCCCTGCAATCCATCGCCCTGTGGACCAAACAGCCGCTGTAGAGAGACCAACGGTCAGGCGGTTTGCACTTGTATTCAGGGTTTCCTTGGTGCACCACCGACCTGCAGGCCTGAGTGCACGATAAATTCCGATTGTTCGCGTACCGAAGCCTGTACAAATCAGAAATGCATCAATCCTTGTCTAGGCAGCTGTGGCTTCGCAGCCAACTGTCAAGTAATTAATCACAATCCCATATGTAGTTGTCCTTCAGGAATGACTGGAGATCCCTTCATTGTGTGTCAGGATGCACGTAAGTTTTTCAGGAAAAAAAAATCACCCCGCAGTATCAACGAATCCTTCAATTTGACATGTAATCATTTCTTGTAGCGCCCACACCTCCAGCCCCCCTGAATCCCTGCCAACCATCTCCATGTGGAGCTAATGCAGAATGTCGAGTATTCAACGAATCACCATCTTGTCTCTGTCTACCTCAATTCATCGGAAGTCCGCCGAACTGTCGCCCTGAGTGCAGCAGTAACAGTGAATGTTCTAGTCACTTAGCTTGTATTAATAGAAAGTGTAGAGATCCCTGCGTCGGTTCCTGTGCAGCGAACGCTGAATGTCGGGTAGTCAGTCATGCTGCAATGTGTATGTGCCCCAGTGGTTTCACTGGTGATCCTTTTACCCAGTGCATTACAGCGCCAAGTAAGCAAAAACCATCAATCGATACCATCAAATCACCAGATCAATCGTTAACATCAAATTATTCATTCTGGATTTTTTCTCTGTCCATAAAATGAAATGACGAGATATTATTTACAGTCGAGGTGCGTCCAGTTATTACTCACCCCTGTTTGCCCTCGCCATGTGGCCCCAATGCAGTTTGCGAAGAAAGGAATAACGCTGGTTCGTGCTCCTGCACCCCAGGATACCTCGGGAACCCTTACGAGGGCTGCAGACCAGAATGTGTCCTGAATTCGGACTGCTCTCAAAATCTCGCGTGTGTGAACTCCAAATGCCGTGATCCATGTCCTGGTACTTGTGGACAGAATGCCAATTGTCAAGTGATCAATCACTTGCCAACATGCGTCTGCATTCCCCAGTACAGTGGCGACCCTTTCAGATTCTGTTCTCCTGTTCGACGTAATATATTCAAAATTTTTTTAACTATTTGGCGATAAAGAATTATTCGATACTGAATGCCCTGGTCTTAATTCCTATAGAAACTCCACCAGAAAAAATCAATGTGTGCAGTCCCTCGCCCTGTGGTCCTTTCAGTCAATGCCGAGAGGTAAATACTCAGGCCGTTTGTTCATGCCTGCCTGGGTACAACGGCCGGCCCCCAGGTTGCCGTCCAGAGTGCACAACGAGCTCAGAATGTCCCTCAAATCTTGCCTGCGTCAATCAGAAATGTGTAGATCCCTGTCCGACACCCTGTGGACAGCAGGCGACCTGCAGAGTCCTGAATCACAGCCCTGTGTGCAGCTGCGCCCCAGGATTCACTGGCGATCCTTTTACCAGATGCTTCTCAATGCCACGTAAGACATCGCTATGAAAACAACACCCGGCATTACTCTAAATTTTATAAAATTTAATTTCAGCACCTCCTAAAGTTCCTGAACAGAGAGATCCCTGTGTACCCTCCCCCTGCGGCCCTAACTCCCAGTGTTTCAATGCCAATGGGCGTCCGGCATGCTCGTGTGCTCAGAATTTCTTAGGTAGTCCCCCGAACTGTCGGCCAGAATGCGTCATAAACTCGGAATGTTCCAGTAATTTAGCCTGCATCTCTCAAAAATGCCGAGATCCATGCGCAGGCTCCTGCGGCCTGAATGCCCTGTGCTCGGTCCACAATCACGTGCCCATTTGTTCTTGTCTTGAGGGCTTTACAGGTGATGCATTCACAGGATGCCAGCTGAAACCGCCCACGGAATCCCTGAACAGCGATCCCTGCAACCCATCTCCCTGTGGTCCAAATACCCAGTGCAACAATGGTATTTGTTCGTGCCTGCCAGAATATATTGGAGATCCGAATGCCGGCTGTAGGCCTGAATGTGTTCTAAATAATGAGTGTCCCCTTAATCAGGCGTGCATCAGGAATAAATGCGTTGACCCGTGTCCAGGTACCTGTGGACAAAATGCCCAGTGCAATGTATTCAATCACATTCCCATGTGCACGTGTCTCCCAGGAATGGCTGGCAATGCCCTGGTCTCCTGTCAACCGGTAACACCTCCAATTGCATCCAGGCCCTGCACCCCATCCCCCTGCGGCCCCAACAGTATCTGTCGTGAAGTCAACGCTCAGGCCGTGTGCACATGTGCTCCTGAATTTCTGGGCTCGCCCCCGACTTGCCGACCTGAGTGTCTCATCAGCTCGGATTGCTCCAGAAATGAGGCCTGCAACAATCAGAAATGCCGAGACCCATGTCGAGGTACGTGTGGCCTCAGTGCCCAGTGCCAAGTGATTAATCACAATCCGATATGTTCGTGCCCTGAGAGATACAGGGGAGATCCCTTCGTCCGGTGCTCATTAATACGTAAGAATTAACCGTTACAATTATCAAAATGAAAATTTAGAGACTAAATAATTGCGCTTCCCACAGAGGATAGACCCTCCCCACTGTCAGTGAACCCCTGCGTGCCCTCGCTCTGCGGTCCAAATGCCCAGTGTCGAGTAATTAATGATTCACCGTCCTGCTCCTGTCAACCTGAATACACAGGTTCACCTCCCAACTGCCGCCCTGAGTGCGTCAGTAATTCCGAGTGCCTCATCAATCAGGCGTGTGTCAATCAGAGATGTAGGGATCCCTGTCCAAACTCATGTGGCTCAAACACAGAATGTCGAGTTGTCAGTCACACACCGATGTGCGTCTGTCTCTCAGGATTTACCGGTGATCCCTTCACCGGCTGTTCAACATGTGAGAGACCTTGCATGAAGCTTAATTAAGAATAAATAAATCAGTGCACAATAACCCGTAGAAATTAATGAATTGCCCATTATTTTAGTTGTACCAACGCCCGAAATGCCAATATCGCCCTGCATACCCTCGCCCTGCGGTGCCAATGCCATCTGCAAAGAATCCAACAGCGCAGGTTCATGCTCCTGCTTACCAGACTACATTGGAAACCCATACGAGGGATGTAGACCCGAGTGTACCATTGATTCCGACTGCCCTTCATACCAGAGTTGCATCAGATCAAAATGCCGTGATCCATGCCCTGGTGCCTGCGGTCAAAATGCCGAATGCAATGCTATCAATCACTCGCCCACCTGCACCTGTAGCCGAGGATATACCGGCGATCCGTTTAGATTCTGTACCCCCATCGATACCAGTAAGTTATCAGCATTAAATAACGCGTGAAAAAAAAAATTCATTAAAAAACCTACACTGAAAAAAAAAAATTGAGGAAGTGGAAAGAAAATATGTTTGGCAAAAGCCGTGTTTGTTTCACAGTGTAACAAACAGAAATCCAAGTGAAAAGTAAAATTACCCCTTTAAGATATTTTTTTTAATGAAATTTTCTCATGCGCACTGTTGTAAATGCATCTGTAAAATCAAACACCAATAATTCTTTCCCACAGCCGAAATAGATAGACCGAATGAGCCGTGCAATCCATCGCCCTGCGGCCCCAATAGCCGATGTATCGATAATAATGGTCAAGCAGTGTGTACCTGCTTATCAAATCACATTGGTACCCCACCAAACTGTCGTCCCGAGTGCGTGTCATCCTCCCAGTGTCCCAATCATCTTGCCTGTGACAATCAGAGATGCGTTAATCCCTGTCCCGCACCCTGTGGACTCAACACCCAGTGCAACGTTGTCAATCACAGTCCAATTTGTACTTGCATGCCCGGTTATAGCGGAGATCCATTCACTATTTGCAGTTTCGTTCCACCACGTAAGACCTATCTACTGAATTTTATTTTACCATTTCTACCATTTATTTTATTGGCCAATGGAATGTGCAATGCCTTCGATATTTTCCCCCAGCCCCAGAGAGAGATCCCGATATGAATCGAGACCCCTGTGTGCCCTCGCCCTGCGGCAGTTTCTCCAACTGTCAAAACATCAATGGTGCCCCAGCGTGTAGCTGTCGTGAGGGCTACATGGGACAGCCCCCGAACTGCCGTCCTGAATGTATTATCAGCTCTGAGTGTCCCAGCAATGAGGCCTGCATAAACGAAAAATGCCGTGACCCATGTCTGGGCTCGTGTGGTGTGGGTGCCCGTTGTTTCGTTTCCAATCACATCCCCACGTGCAATTGTCCAGAGGGTTTCACTGGTGATCCCTTCACCATCTGTAACCTACTCCCGCAAAAACGTAAGACTTATAATTCGATAAAATCAGTGAATTCTTTTGAATTTCTTGTTAACCCCATAAATATTTCAGCATGGGTAAACGAAACTCTGGACAAATGTAATCCATCCCCATGTGGCTCGAACGCTCAATGCAATAATGGAGAATGCACTTGCCTACCTGAATACCAAGGCAACCCGTATGCAGGTTGTCGTCCTGAGTGTGTCCTGAATGCTGACTGCCCAAGGGACAGAGCCTGCCTGAGAAACAGATGCAAAGATCCATGTCCAGGTGCATGTGCAGATAATGCAGTCTGCGCCGTCATCAATCACGTACCGATGTGCAGCTGTCCTGAGGGAATGACAGGCAATGCATTCAGCCGATGCTCACCAATTCAGCAGATCGTTCCAGAGAACCCCTGCAATCCGTCCCCCTGCGGTCCCAACAGCGAGTGTCGAGTTGTAAATTCTCAGGGCGTGTGTTCATGCCTCAGAGGATACATTGGCAGTCCACCTACATGTCGGCCTGAGTGTGCTGTCAGCTCTGATTGCCCTCAGAACGAAGCATGCAGTAATCAGAAATGCATTAACCCTTGTCCAGGGACATGTGGATACAATGCACTCTGCGCAGTCGTCGGACACAATCCAATATGCAGCTGCCCTGTACGATTCACTGGCGATCCATTCGTCTCGTGTACACCAATACCCAGTAAGATATTTTTTTTCTGTTTCACAATGAATGCGTCCTGAAAATTTGTAACAATTCTCCCTGGGAGAATTAATTCTGGCTTGCATTCCCCTAATTTTATTGTATCCTCAGTGCAAGAAAGCCCACCGGAATCGAGAGATCCCTGCTCGCCCTCACCCTGCGGTCCAAACGCTCAGTGTCAGGTGATAAATAACACCCCATCGTGCTCCTGCAATCCAGAGTTCATGGGCAGTCCACCCAATTGCCGTCCTGAATGCGCCAGTAATGGAGAATGCTCGTCTCACCTGGCATGTATGAATCAGAGATGCAAAAATCCGTGTATCGGATCTTGCGGGGCTAATGCAGACTGTCACGTCGTTAGTCACACTCCAATGTGCAGCTGCATGAATGGTTTCACTGGAGATCCATTCAGTCAATGCAATATAGCCCAAAGTAAGACTGACAATTAATTCACATATGAAAAAAAAATAGAAATAACGAATTCTATTAATTTTTTTCGTTTACTCTCAATTATTTATTTACAGCTCCCCCAATATCCACGAAACCAAATTCTCCCTGCGAGCCATCCCCCTGCGGTCACAATGCAATCTGTAGAGAACAAAATGGCGCAGGATCCTGCTCCTGTTTCCCTGAATACGTGGGGAATCCGTATGAGGGCTGCAGACCGGAGTGTATAGTGAACTCAGACTGTCCTGCCAACCTGGCTTGTCTTAATTCAAAATGTAAAGATCCCTGTCCTGGAACCTGCGGTTCCAATGCGGTATGTCGAGTGATGAATCACCTGCCGCAGTGCACGTGCATTCAGGGATACTCGGGCGATCCATTCCAATTCTGCAGGATCGTTCAAGAGTCAATGGAAACACCGAAAGATCCCTGCAATCCATCACCCTGTGGACCAAACAGCCAATGCCGGGTTATCAATGGGCAATCGGTATGCAGCTGTCAACCAGAATACATAGGAACCCCACCATCGTGTCGTCCTGAGTGCACCAGCAGCTCTGAATGCCTCAGCAATCAAGCGTGTGTCAATCGTAAATGCACAGACCCGTGTCCAGGGACTTGCGGCTTCAACACGAGATGTGAAATCATTAATCACAGCCCGATATGCTCGTGTCGTCCTGGTTTCACAGGCGATCCCTTCATTAACTGCTTCAAGATGTCAGAGCCACTGCCGCCGGTCAGTCCACCGACTTACACAAGCCCCTGCGTTCCCTCCCCCTGCGGACCAAATGCTGAATGCCGTGATGTCAATGGTCAGGCCTCCTGCGCCTGTCAACCGAATTTCAGTGGCTCTCCACCCAACTGTCGAGCTGAATGCATTATCAATCCTGACTGTCCAAGTAATCAGGCCTGTCTTCAATCCAAATGTCGTGACCCCTGCCCTGGCTCTTGTGGAATAAATGCTATGTGCATTGTTATGAATCACACACCCATTTGCAACTGTCCTGAAGGATTCACTGGAGACCCTTTCACTAGGTGCTCCCCACAGCCACAATCACCGCGTAAGACCCACACCATCATACAATAAATTTTAATTCCGCAGGTATTTTAATTGTGCCCTCTCCAAATTTAGCGGAACCCAAGCCGTCGCCCTGCAGCCAGTGCGCTGCTAACACCCAGTGCCTCAATGGCCAATGCGTTTGTCTCCCGGAGTTCCAGGGAAATCCTTACATCGGCTGTCGACCGGAGTGCGTTCTCAATACTGATTGCTCGAGAGACCTCGCCTGCATGACCTCTAAATGCCGTGATCCCTGTCAAGGCACCTGCGGACTGAACGCCCTTTGCAGTGTTGTCAATCATATTCCTATTTGCACTTGCCCCTCGGGAATGTCTGGGAATGCATTCTTCACTTGTTCACCTGTCGAAGGTACATTTCAGGAAAAAGAGCCCTGGAATTTTTCCCCCATACACATTTTATCAATTTTTATGCCTCATCTCCTATTTTGATCACCACAGCTCCACCAGAAAGAGACCCATGCAATCCATCCCCCTGTGGCTCAAACAGTCAATGTCGAAGGATAAATGGCCAGGCAGTCTGCTCCTGTATCAGTGGTTTCCTCGGTGTCCCACCAAACTGTCGCCCTGAGTGCACTGTTGCCTCCGACTGCGCTCCGAACATGGCCTGTAGCAACCAAAAATGCATTGACCCATGTCCTGGTACCTGTGGAATACGCGCACAGTGTTACGTTGTCAATCACAATCCCATCTGCGCTTGTCCTCCGGATTTAACGGGAGATCCTTTCATCATTTGCTCCCTAAAACGTAAGTATTAACCCGCTAAAATAGCAGCCATTACTGAATATCCAATAATCCCTGAATAATTTCCGAATCTTGTGTAAAACAGCGCGAGATCCAGAGCCTCCACAGAATCCCTGCCAGCCATCCCCGTGCGGTCCAAATGCTCAATGCCGAGTAATCAACAGCTCCCCCTCCTGTTCGTGTGCCCCAGAATTCCGTGGAACCCCCCCGAATTGTCGTCCTGAGTGCGCGAGTAACTCTGAATGCCCGAACAATCTAGCCTGCATAAATCAGAAATGCAAGGATCCATGTCCAGGCTCCTGTGGTACTGATGCCGAATGCAAAGTGATAAGTCACACACCGATGTGCATCTGCTCACCAGGATACACCGGGGATCCATTCACCCAGTGTACGATGTCGCCAATAGAGCTTCCTGGAAAGGATCAGCCCACGCCCTGCGTGCCATCTCCGTGTGGATCGAATGCAATTTGTCGAGAACAATTTGGCGCTGGTTCCTGCACATGTCTTCCTGACTACATTGGTAATCCCTACGAGGGCTGCAGACCTGAGTGCACCATCAACTCAGACTGCACAGCAGACAGGGCTTGTATCCGATCAAAATGTCAGGATCCATGTCCCGGAGCCTGCGGTCAGGGCGCGCTTTGCCAAGTTGTGAACCACTTGCCATCGTGCACCTGCCAATCAGGTTACAGTGGCAATCCTTTCAATTTTTGCAGTATAATTCAGGAGCCACCAGGACCAGCACTAGTCAGCCCTTGTGAACCCTCACCATGCGGGCCAAACAGTCAGTGCCGTGAAACAAATAATCAAGCAGTTTGCTCCTGCTCCCCTGGTTTTACAGGAGTGCCACCTACCTGTCGCCCTGAGTGCACAGTAAGTTCTGAGTGCCCCTTGAATCGTGCCTGCGTCAATCAGAAGTGTGTGGATCCCTGTCCTGGAATTTGTGGAATTAACGCACGTTGTAACGTCATTAATCACAGCCCTTTCTGCGTCTGCAACGCCGGTCTTGTAGGAAATCCCTTCGTCAGGTGTTTTGAGACCCCACCACCGGCCGAGGAACGTCCAGCACAGAATCCCTGCATTCCATCTCCCTGCGGACCATTCGCAATTTGTCGCGATATCGGAGGAATTCCTTCATGCTCCTGCGAACAGAATTATATTGGATCACCACCGAATTGTCGACCTGAGTGCACAATAAATGCAGATTGCGTGAGTAATCTTGCCTGCCTCAAATCCAGGTGTTCAGACCCCTGTCCAGGATCCTGTGGGGTTGGAGCTCAGTGTAGTGTCATCAATCACACACCAGTCTGTAATTGTCCAGAAGGATTTACGGGTGATCCCTTCACCAGCTGTTCACCGAGTCCCTACCAACCACCAGTACCTGACGATCCCTGCAATCCCTCCCCGTGTGGCGCCAACGCTCAATGTAGAGATGGACAGTGCACGTGTCTGCCTGAGTACCAAGGGGATCCCTACAGAGGCTGTCGTCCAGAGTGCATTCAGAATTCAGAGTGCCCCCTGAATAGAGCATGCATCAGGAACAAGTGTGGAGATCCCTGTAGAGGCGTTTGTGGGCAAAATGCCGAGTGCAACGTTAGCCAGCACATCCCCATGTGTAGCTGTCCCTCCGGAACAACTGGCAACGCCTTCCAGGTCTGTATCCCTGCAGAGGAGCCTCCAGTCGCGGACCCCTGCAATCCTTCTCCATGCGGACCAAATAGTCGCTGTCAACAGAGCAATGGTCAGGCCACATGTTCCTGCGTGCCAGGATTTATCGGCAGCCCCCCAGGTTGTCGTCCCGAGTGCGTAACGAATTCCGAATGCTTGCTGAATCAGGCGTGCAGCAATCAAAAGTGCGTCGATCCCTGTCAGGGTTCTTGCGGTGTATCTGCGCAGTGTCAAGTCGTCAATCATAATCCAATCTGCAGCTGTCCGTCGGCCTTCACTGGAGATCCATTCGTGAGGTGCATTATTCAGGAGAGACCCCCTGAACCCTCCGTCACATCAAATCCCTGTGAGCCCTCGACCTGTGGTCTCAATGCCCAGTGTCGGGTCGTCAACAACTCCCCCAGCTGCTCCTGCCTCCCCGAATTCCTTGGAAATCCACCCAACTGTCGTCCTGAGTGCGTCACCAACTCCGACTGCGCCAGTGCCATGGCCTGCATCAACAGGAAGTGTCAGGATCCCTGTAGGGGGGTCTGTGGAACCGGTGCAGAGTGCTTTGTTCTCAACCATGTGCCGAGCTGCAGCTGTCAACAGGGATTCTCTGGGGATCCCTTCGTCCAGTGCTCTCCTGTTCAAGGTGATTAAAATTTTTTGCCGCCGAAAATAATGAAAAAAAAATCGGTTTTTGATGCCCTAGTTCGTAATATTGTAGATCCTCCCTCTGATTCGTCTCGTCAACCCTGCGCTTCAACTCCGTGTGGCCCCAACGCCCTCTGCCGAGAACGCAACGAGGCCGGCTCTTGCAGTTGCCTCCCAGGCTACATCGGCAATCCCTACGAGGGCTGCAGGCCCGAATGTGTTATCAATACAGACTGCCCAGCGAATCTCGCCTGCATTAGATCTAAGTGTCAGGATCCTTGTCCTGGAACTTGCGGTGGCAATGCCAACTGTCAAGTCGTCGCGCATTTACCCTCGTGCACCTGTTTGCCCGGTTACACCGGCAACCCCTTCGTCTTCTGTAATTTGGTACCACCGAGTAAGTTTTTACACTCTTTCTCGTGATTTCGTACGAGTAAAATTGAAATCCATTTAATGAAAATAAATTGCAGAACTCCCAGCACCCAGTGACCCCTGCAGCCCATCACCCTGCGGAGCGAACAGCAGATGTCAAGTGAATAATAACCAGGCAATCTGTACTTGTATCCCAGAATTTATAGGTACCCCACCGAATTGCCGACCCGAGTGTACAGTGAGCTCTGAGTGCTCCTCGACACTAGCTTGTCTGAATCAAAGATGTCGTGACCCCTGTCCAGGAACGTGTGGTAGTAATGCGTCCTGTCGAGTTATCAATCACAGTCCAATATGCAGCTGTAATCCTGGCAGCACAGGGGATCCATTCGTTCAATGTTTCCCAATGCTTCGTAAGTAATTTCACACAATCTCCATCGAATCCCTTTCACTCAAAAAATTATTTAATCAGCTCCCTCTACGGGTCAACGAGATCCCTGCAGTCCGTCCCCCTGTGGTCCCAACTCCATCTGCAGGAATATCGGCGATACCCCATCATGTGCGTGTGTTGATAATTACCTGGGATCCCCCCCGAACTGTCGACCCGAGTGCTCCATCAACCCTGACTGCACCAGTGATAAAGCATGCATTAGGGAGAAATGCCGAGATCCCTGTCCCGGCTCCTGTGGTTTCTCCGCTAATTGTGCAGTCGTCAATTACGTGCCAGTCTGCACATGCCCAGAGGGCTACACTGGGGATCCATTCACCAGTTGTCAACCCACACCACCACCCGCAGAACGTAAGGCATAAAAACACGATTGCAAGCAATTCTTTAATTTTTAATCCACTCTTCTTTTCTTTATTCCTTACGATATTTTGTTTCTGAACAAAAATGATTGCCAGATCTGAAAAGAAATAAAAAAATAACCCTCAAATTTCCTCAGCACCGGCACCAAGAGACCCTTGCAATCCCTCCCCCTGTGGAGCAAACACCCAGTGCCAGAATGGCATATGCTCATGTCTCCCGGAGTACCTTGGCGATCCGTACTTCGGCTGTCGTCCAGAATGCGTTACAAATGAAGAGTGTCCCAGGAGCAGAGCCTGTGTCAACCAAAAATGCGTGGATCCCTGTCCGAAGGCCTGTGGCATCGATTCAGTCTGTAACGTTATCAATCACCTTCCCATGTGCAGTTGTCCCTCAGGTATGTCAGGAAACGCCTTCATCCAGTGCTCACCGATGCAGGAGCCAGGGGTGACTGATCCCTGTAATCCATCGCCATGTGGACCCAATAGTCACTGCAGACAGAACAACAATCAAGCAGTCTGTACGTGCATCCCAGGATTCTTCGGTACTCCGCCGTCCTGCAGACCCGAATGCGTCGTCTCCTCGGATTGCCCGAGAGATCGTGCCTGCAATACCCAGAAGTGCATTGATCCATGCTTGGGAACATGTGGATTCAGTGCTCAATGTGTCGTTATCAATCACAATCCCATTTGCAGTTGTCCCGGGGGAATGACTGGAGATCCATTCACCAGATGTTTCCCAATACGTAAGAATCCATCGATCGCAATTATATAATTTTTATCATGTCGAATTCGTTGAAAAATTCCCATCTAACGGATGAACGATGGAATTTATTTTATCATTCACAGCGAAGGATCCAGCGCCTCCAACAGACCCCTGTCAGCCATCCCCTTGCGGTCCCAATGCCCAGTGTAGAGTTGTCAACAACTCTCCCTCGTGCTCGTGCTCTCCAGAATTTGTGGGAAGTCCACCGAACTGCAAACCCGAGTGCATTAGCAACTCCGAATGCCCCTCCAATCAAGCCTGTTTCAATCAAAAATGCCGAGACCCATGCCCCAGCTCTTGTGGATCAAATACCAATTGTGCGACCATCAGTCATACGCCAATGTGCTCGTGCAGCCCCGGATTCACAGGAGATCCCTTCGTTCAATGTAATCGGGTGGAAAGTAAGTGAATTATTTTAAATCCATGCCCTATTTGCGATTTCTGAACCGTTAAGTGTTCTGACATAATCTCTACGATGAAGATATTCGGAATCAACGATTACTCATTGAAAATTTCCATTTTTTTTTTCCAAAAATTGCAGTCCCGCCAGTGCCAATTCCAACGAACCCATGTGTGCCATCCCCTTGCGGTGCCAATGCCGTTTGTCGCGAGTCTTCTGGCTCAGCGATGTGCTCGTGTGCCCCAGATTTCTACGGTAATCCGTACGAAGGCTGTAGACCCGAGTGCGTGATTAATCCAGATTGCACTTCCAATCAGGCGTGCATCAGATCAAAATGCCAGAACCCCTGTTTGGGAACATGCGGCCAAAATGCCATATGTCAAGTGATAAACCATGTGCCATCATGTTCCTGTGAGAGGGGATTCACAGGCGATCCCTTCAGATACTGCCGACCCGTCCAAAAAAGACGTAAGAATTCATCCGAATAATTTATTAATCATTCCGTGAGTGTTTCCCGAAATTTCCGTAAAATTAGTAATAAATTTCTCACCCACAGCGTCGGACCCCGTGAACCCCTGTTCCCCATCACCATGTGGAGCCAATAGTCAGTGTCGTGTATCAAACAATCAGGCGATCTGCAGTTGTCTACCTGAATACACCGGTGTACCGCCATTATGTCGGCCTGAGTGTGTTTCAAGCACCGAATGCCCATCAACTCGTGCCTGCATCAATCAAAAGTGTTCAGATCCTTGTCCTGGAATATGTGGAATTGGGGCTCGATGTGACATACGCAATCACAGCCCCATATGCAGCTGCCCTCCTAACCAGACTGGTGATCCCTTCGTCAAGTGCTTTGACCTCCCAACGAATACCATTGAACAACCTGTGAACCCCTGCGTTCCGTCACCCTGCGGACCTTTCTCCACCTGTCAGGAGACAGCTGGTTATCCCGCCTGTTCCTGCGTACAAAACTACATCGGCACTCCACCGAACTGTCGTCCCGAATGCAGCATCAATCCCGAGTGTAGTCAGAATCAGGCCTGCATCAGGGAAAAATGTAGGGATCCCTGTCCAGGATCGTGTGGTACTAGTGCTCTTTGTACTGTTGTCAATCACACACCTGTCTGCACGTGTCCTCAGGGATTCACAGGGGACCCATTCAGCAACTGCTTCCTAACGCCACAACCACGTGAGAGACATAATGCGAACATCTGAAAAAATTCATTTACAAAACACTTTCTTTAAAAATTCTGAACAACTCACTTAATTTTTGAAGAAACGTTTCCTATGATTTTTTCACACGTGAATCGTCCAAGCAATTATTTATTTACGAATTGACTCTTTCAGCTCAACCTCCAGCGCCAAAGAATCCGTGCGACCCGTCCCCCTGCGGTCCGAATGCTCAGTGTCGCGACGGCGCCTGCACCTGTCTGCCTGAATACCACGGTGATCCCTATTTCAGCTGCCAGCCTGAATGCGTTCAAAATTCAGATTGTCCCCTCAACAGAGCATGCTCCAACAACAAATGCGTTGACCCCTGCCCCAACATCTGCGGACGAAATGCCGAGTGCAATGTTGTCAATCATATACCCATGTGCAGCTGCATCGGAGATTATCAGGGCGATCCTTTCTCATCCTGTCAACCGAAAGAACGTAAGAATATCTGAGTCTAATCCTCGATTGCCTGTTCTCTGAAATGAACTAATTTGAATAGGTCCCAAAGAGAATCCCTGCGAGCCATCACCCTGCGGTCCCAATTCAATCTGTCGTCAATTTGGCGAGCAGGTGTCGTGCTCCTGCTTACCCGGATACCTGGGGAATCCCCCTAGCTGTCGACCTGAGTGTGTCGTAAGCTCGGATTGCGAGCAAAATCGTGCATGCATCAATCGCCGATGTCAGGATCCCTGTGCTGGTGTCTGTGGACAAAATGCACTGTGCTCCGTGAGAAATCACAATCCAATCTGCACTTGTCCCCAGAAATACGCGGGAGATCCGTTCGTCCAGTGTTTCCCTATGAGTAAGTCGTCACTTGTGGTTAAAATTCTAATCAATCTCTACCAAAATCAATTTTAATCATGCTACCCGAAGGTAAAAGGAAAAATCAATATTTGAATGACCCAATTTTATGAAACAGGGAAACCCGAAGATGAGCCTAAAAATCCCTGTGTTCCCTCGCCATGCGGACCCAATGCCATCTGTACGACCGTGAACAATGCACCCAATTGCAATTGCCAGCCTGGTTTCTCTGGCTCGCCGCCCAACTGTAGACCAGATTGTAGAATTAATAGTGAATGCCCGAATCACCTCGCCTGCGTGAACAATAAATGCGCGGATCCTTGTCCTGGCTCTTGCGGCATCGATGCCATGTGTCAGGTCTCCCACCATCAGCCCTCGTGCAGTTGCCTGCAGGATTACACCGGTGACCCCTTCACCCTTTGTACCATGACACCGAGTAAGACCAGATATTTTCCTACAAGCCTCTTATTATTTTTCAGCAGCTAGTGGCTTCGATAGTGTCAGTAGTTTTATGCCTGATTTATATCGCATATAAGATTGTTTCATGACGTACTAATCATTTTTTTTTTCATCCCAGCGATGTAAATAGAGTGTAGATAGCGCCATGTAAATTAATTAATTGATTAATTCTCATCTGTACATCTTTCTAATCATCTCTCTCTTGAACTATTTCTATAGCATGATCTGTGGTTCGATCAAGGTGTGGGAAACAGAAATTTAATGGATTTAATGTACTTCATTAATCCAGAAATATATAAATTTTTAACGTCAACACGCACGAAAAATCAAGCAAGTTCGCTGATTTTTTTCTTCGAAATATTTTCAAGTCTAAACCGAATTTTATATATTCCAGAACGACCGCAACCACCTGCGCAAAAGCGTCCCTGCGACCCGTCGCCCTGCGGTGCCAATGCTTTCTGCCGAGAGCGTTACGACACGGCAATTTGCGAGTGCTGGCCAGATTACCGAGGAAATCCGTACGAGGCATGTCACCCCGAATGTCTAGTCAATACAGACTGTCCAAATTCTCTGGCATGCATTCGAACAAAATGCCAGGATCCTTGTCCAGGTACCTGTGGAATAGGTGCAATCTGTACAGTATCAAATCACGTACCGATCTGTTCCTGCCCATATCCATCGATAGGGGACGCGTTCACGCAGTGTCACGTGCCTCCAAGACAGCCTGACATACCAGATCCCTGCAATCCATCTCCATGCGGCCCGAACACCATCTGCGAGAAGATAAATCAAAGTGTTTTATGCAAGTGTCTTCCAGGTCTTCAGGGTGAGCCATCGAGTCTCGCTGGATGTCACCCCGAGTGCATCGTCAGCTCCGACTGCCCTGGAGATAAGGCCTGCGAAAATTCGAGATGTGTGGATCCCTGCACCCAGAACATCTGCGGCATCGGAGCAACTTGCAGGGCTATAAATCACAGTCCCCTATGCAGCTGTCCACAGCCACTCGTTGGAAATCCATTCGTCGAGTGTCGCAGAGAGGATCTTTCAGATCCCTGCAATCCATCCCCCTGCAATGTTAATGGAGAGTGCAGAGTTCGCAACAATGTTGCATACTGCATCTACCCGGAGTGTCTCATCAACTCCGATTGTCCCAGGAACCGCGCCTGCTTCAACCAACGCTGCAGGGACCCCTGCATTGACACATGCGGCATTAATTCCATCTGCCAAACCATCAACCACAAACCGGTCTGCTCATGTCCATCCGGGTTCATCGGTGATGCTTACGTTCAATGCAGAATTACAGACATTGAAATTCCCAGACCAGAGTGCACACGGAATTCAGACTGCCCGAACGACAAAACCTGTTGGGAGCAACGATGTGTGGATCCCTGCACTTTGGGGTCATGTGGAATCAATAGTAGATGCCAAGTTCTTCTTCATCGTGCTGTCTGCGTCTGCAACGAGGGCTTTACAGGCAATCCCCAGCAATACTGCCGAGAGATAGGTTGTAGGAGCGATCAGGATTGCCCTCTGTCACAATCCTGCGTCAATCAAGAGTGCCTCGATGTTTGTGGAATCACTCAATGCGGCCTGAACGCAATCTGCCAGCCAAATGGATATCACAGATCGATGTGCATCTGCCTGGAGGGTTATCAAGGTGATCCCAACCGTGCCTGCTACCGCCCTGAGTGCACGACTGATTCCGAATGCCCATCTTACCTCACCTGCAGAAACACAAAATGTGTGGATCCCTGCAACTGTCCATCGACGTCACAATGCTCAGTCATCAATCATCATGCGATGTGCAGGTGTCCTCCTGGATTCACCGGTGACGCCTCTGAAGGTTGTGTCAGGGTAGCTGAACCTATCCCTGAATGCACCGTTGATGCAGACTGTCCCAGTCGACTCGCCTGTTTCGGTGGCACCTGCAAGGATCCCTGCGCAGAGACTCGGCCCTGCGTCACAAACGCCAAGTGCACAGTTGTCGACACCCTGCCGATGAGGACGATGATCTGCGAATGTCTTCCACACTTCATAGGAGACGCCACCATTGCCTGCGCCCCAATTGCTGGACAGATTGAGAAATTATGTACCACCAACTCCGAATGCCCATCCAATACTGCCTGTTTGAACTCACGATGTGTGAACCCCTGCACCATTAATCCCTGCTCCAGTCGGGCTCAGTGTAGAGTCGAGAATCATCAGCACGTTTGCACGTGCCCTGAGGGCTATCTGGGGGATGCCTTCACTGGCTGCTACAGGGATAATACACCAGTGCCTGAGTGCACCACTAATGACGACTGTTCATCGAATCTCGCGTGTGTAAATCAGTTGTGTCAGAATCCCTGTGCAAATGACAGATGCGGCCTGAACGCCGATTGTATCATGATCGAACATCATCCCACATGCCACTGCCCTCAGGGTTACGCCGGCGACCCACAGGGTCAATGTTTCAAGCCTGAATGCAAATCAGATAACGAGTGCCCTTACGATAAATCTTGTCGCAATGGGTATTGCGCCAATCCCTGTCACGTAGGTGATGTTCACTGCGGTCGTGGAGCTGAATGCAGTGTCATTGACCATCAGGCTAGATGCAGGTGTCCTCTTGGCACCCAGGGAGATCCACGTGTAACCTGTGTCTCCGCTGTATGTCAGTACAACGAGGACTGTCCTGATCACGAGGCCTGCGACAGACTGAACCGAGTTTGTCGTCCAGTCTGCGACGAAGAGTCTTGCGCAGAGACCGCCACCTGCATACCCAAAGAACACCAACCGAAGTGCGTGTGTCCAGCTGGAACGACTGGTAATCCCTACGTTGACTGCTCTCAGTTACCCTCTGACAAACCAGAGTGTCGTACGGATTCTGAATGCCCATCGTTTTTGGCCTGCATTAACACTCGTTGCCAGAATCCCTGCGCATTATCAGAAATGTGTTCACCTGATCAAGAATGCCGAGTCCTGAATACACTACCCCTGCGTACTATGATCTGCGAATGTCCACCAGAAACATATACTGACATCCACGGCAGGTGCCAGAAGATCATCTGGGATAACACTCAATGCAGGGGTGATGATGAATGCCCTGATCACGACAAGTGTCTCAATGGCAACTGCATCGATGCCTGTCTGATAACCCGTTGTGGCTTCAACGCTCAGTGCAGACCAGAGTCTCACACTGGAATTTGCTTCTGCGCAGCTGAATACACTGGCAACGCATACATCGAGTGTTCACTGATGCCTCGAGAGCCCTCACCACCACCCCAACCGGAGTGTTATTCAACGAGTGAATGTCCATCCGACCGTCAATGCATCAACTCCAAGTGTGTGAACCCCTGTGTTGCTGGTGATCCCTGCGGAAGAAATGCATTATGCCACGTGGATGATCATAATCCAATCTGCAGGTGTCCAGTGGGTCACCTGGGAGATCCCAGAATAAACTGCATACCACCGAAGATTACCCTGGGCTGCCTCTCGAATAGCGAATGCGCTGGAACTGAAGCCTGTGTCAATAATCTATGCATCAATCCCTGCAACTGTGGACCAAACGCTGAATGTCTGGTGTCGAATCACTACCCGTCATGCGTCTGTCACCCTGGATATTCGGGAAATCCCCAACTAGGCTGCACAAAACTTCAATGTGAAACCGACCACGAGTGTTCTTACGAGGAAACATGCCACCAAGGTCAATGTGTGAGCCCCTGCCTGCTGGACAATCCCTGCGCCATCAATGGAGAATGCTACGGAAAGAATCACCGATCATCGTGCAGATGCGGCTTGGGCTATTTCGGGAATCCCGAGGTGATCTGCGAGCGTGCAGAATGCACAAGTGACTTCGAGTGCCCACAGACCCTGGCCTGTGAAAATAAACGTTGTGTCGATCCGTGCACGGATAAATCACCATGCGCTGCCAACGCCATCTGCTTCGTCAGAGCGCATGCCCCGCTGTGCAAGTGTCCGGAGAGCCTTCCCCTTGGGAATCCCCTGTCCTACTGCGAGCGTCGACCGCCAACCGTGGAGGAGCCAGAGTGCAGAAAAGACGTGGATTGCCCGAGTCGATTGGCCTGCATCAAAGAGACATGTGTGGATCCCTGCCTGATCATCCGACCGTGTCTGGAGAACGCTCGATGTGGAGTTTTAGACACAGTTCCAGTAAGAACGATGGTTTGCACCTGTCCCGACGGCTGGAGAACAGACACCGACGGCTTCTGTCGACCGATAACAGTCGTTGGTACCTGCGCCTCAGATTCTGAATGCCCTGACCAAGAGGCATGTGTGAACCGACGGTGCAGAGATCCCTGCAACTGCGGGCGCAACGCCAATTGCTTCGTGAAAAATCACAAACCCATCTGCTCGTGCCTGGAGGGATACCAGGGGAACCCTGAGGTCGCCTGTTACTCCCTGGAGTGCCAGAGGGATTCGGAGTGTATGCCCGACAAGTCTTGTGTGAACAACAGCTGTGTGAACCCCTGTCTTTTCAACGATCACTGCGGTATTAACGCTGAATGCCTGCCAGTGGCTCACCGAGCTGACTGTCAATGCAAGGAGGGCTACGTAGGAAATCCCAGAGACAAATGTCAGGTTATTGGTTGCTACAGCAATGGCGATTGTCCATCTGATCGCTCCTGCGTTAATCGACAGTGCATCGATCCCTGTCTGCACGAAAATCCCTGCGCCAAAGCAGCTGAATGCAGGGTTCACGCGCACGTACCCATCTGCAGATGCCTCCCAGGATACATCGGCAATCCCAGTGTAGACTGCAGAGTAGAGCCACAACCGGAGTGTCGTGTGGACGGTGACTGCAAGACATCGATGGCCTGTTTCAATGAGAAATGCCAGGATCCCTGCACCGTCGTTGAACCCTGCATCGCACCATCTGAATGCAGAGTTTTACCTACACTTCCCGTCAGGACGATGGTATGCATGTGTCCACCGGGTTACATCAGCAGTGGCAGTGGAACTTGTGAGCCGACGACGCCGATCCTTCCCATCGGCTGCACACGAAATGACGACTGTACACCAGATAAGGCCTGCGTCAATGGCGTGTGCAAGGATCCCTGTGCCTGCGGCAGCAATGCACACTGCGACGTCATCGATCACAAGCCCATCTGCTCCTGCATCAGTGGTTACGACGGTAACCCTGATGTCGGTTGCTCTCGCGTTCTCGAGTGCAGGGCCAACGATCAGTGCAGTGACACTCACGCCTGCATTCAGAACACCTGCGTCCCAGCCTGTTCACCGATTTTCTCTCCATGCGCCAAGGACGCAGTCTGCTACGGAATCGACCATCAAGCTGTATGCGAATGCTCTCCAGGTCTCGCTGGAAACCCTCGAGTTTCCTGCAAACCTCTGGGCTGTCGCACCAACTCAGACTGCCCCACAAACCGCGCCTGCGTCAACAGCCTTTGCATAAATCCCTGCACCAAAAATCCATGTACTGGACAGCTGGAATGCAACGTTCTGAATCATGCTGTCGAGTGCGCTTGTCCCCCTGGGTACGTCGGAGACATCCTCAGAGGCTGCACACCAGTCGTTAAAAAATGCAAGCAGGACTACGAGTGCCCAGCACAGACCGCCTGTTTCGACGGCGAGTGCATCAATCCCTGTGAGAAAATCGAGCCGTGCGGAGTCAATGCCAATTGCAAAGTCCTGGACACCAAACCCGTGAGGACGATGATTTGCGAGTGCATTCCAGGATACCGAGGAAATGCTGTCGTCAGGTGTGACAAGACGCCAGTCTGTCTGATCGAGAAGGGACAGGTGAGGGATCAGTACGGCAACTGCATTTGTCCGCCTGGCACAGCCAAGAACGAGATGGATATCTGCGTCCCATGTCGTCCTGAGACAGGAATGATCATCACACCCGATGGCCGTTGCATCTGCGCCCTGGAGAAGGGATTCATCATCGATGAGTTCGGCAGGTGCATCTGCCCAGTGGAGCATGGATATCAACTCGATCGATATGGCAACTGCAAGCTCATTCAGATTATTCAGTGCACCTCTGACGACGACTGCCCCGATGACAAATACTGTGAGAATGGCACCTGCGAAGATCCCTGCGTTAAACAGACGTGCGCTGCGTACGCCATCTGTCTGGCCTCGAGACACCGCGCCATTTGCACGTGTATCAGTGGTTACACCGGTGATGGGTACACTGTGTGCTCACCTCCAGAGCCTCCTGGCACCCTGCGAACCGACTTCCCTAAGCCGGAAATGGAGGCGCACTGTCTGTCTGATGGTGTCCAGGTGCAGATTCACGTGCAGCATCAGGGTTTCGATGGTGTACTTTACGTTCGCGGCAGGAGCAAAGAAGAGGAGTGTAGAAGGGTTCTCTCCATTCCTGCTGATAACACTGACAAAACTGAAACGTTTAAGGTCAAATTTGGACACTGCGGTCTGATTCATGTTAATGGAGAGGCTAGCTTTGTTCTTGTTATACAGAAACATCCGAAGCTTGTGACTTACAAGGCTCAGGCTTATCACGTCAAGTGCATCTATCAGACTGGTGAGCAGAATGTCACTCTAGGATTCAACGTCTCCATGCTAACCACTGCTGGTACCATCGCCAACACTGGACCACCTCCCACCTGCGCCATGAAAATCGTCACGCAGACTGGAGACTCTATTGCATCCGCTGAGATCGGTCAGAATCTCATGCTCCAGGTCGATGTCCAGCCACCATCAATCTACGGAGGATTCGCCAGGAACTGCGTCGCCAAGACCAAGGAGAATGATAAGGAGAATGAGTACATGGTCACCGATGAAAATGGATGCGCCACTGAGCCCACCATCTTTGGGGAGTGGATGCAGGATCCTGAGACACAAGCCCTCACTGCCAGCTTCAATGCCTTCAAGTTCCCCAGCAGTGATACCATTCGATTCCAGTGCAATATCAGGGTCTGCTTCGGAAGGTGTCAACCGGTGAGTAAAATTTCAAATGCAAAACCTATTTTTATCAATTCCGTATCATTCCGGAGAGCGCGGGGAATCCCCCAGCATCAGACCCTCTGGTGGCCATCCGGGAAACGAACGTTTTTTAATAATTAATTTTGATCTATCGATATTTAAGAAAATAGAGTGGAGTAATTCGAAGATTGAGTCAGAATTAATTTTTTTCATGTGATTTATTTTTAAATAGGTCAATTGTCGTGGCTACAATGCATTTGGCCGTAAGAGGAGAGATATAGGAGACGAATACAATGACACAGCCCTGAGTATATCAGACGGGTATGACGGCCAGCTCAGGGAAGAAATAATGATTGAATCAAATTTAATCACAACTCTTGAGAGGAGAGAGGAGAGATACACGGCAGATCCTGCGGAATGTAAGAATCCATCAAATAAATTTAGAAAATGTTTTTTAATAAAAACCCTAAAGGCTTTATAAAATCTCTTTAAAAACTTAATATCACAATAATAATAATAGAAATAATAGAAATATTATTATTATTATCTTGAAACAATTATTATTATTATCATTATTATATAACATTTAATTTTTAATTTACAGTGCCCGCAGCTCAGAGAGCCGAAGACATATGCGTATCAATGGTCGGCTTTATAATCTCCCTCGTGATAACGGCGCTATTGGCCCTCGTCGCCGTCGCCATCGCCGTGTCCTGCTGGCTGATGGCCTACAGAAGACAGCCAAAGACTGCTGGACCACTGCCACATCCCCCAGAATTTCCCAATCCACTCTTCACCACAGAATCAGTGGCTGAACCCTCACCCGATTATCATCTCTCATAATACGACTCGGTGGAGGAAAAAAATCAATCACTGAGTCGTCGATTTAAAAAAGAAAACAAAATCGATCATTTTTGTTAATCGAAGTAATTTTAGGATAATTAATTTTAAACGAGGAATGCATTCCCGACCACCACGTCCTAAAACTGGTCGGCTGTGTATTTCGGAAACGCATCTCCTCCAGTGACTAATGTCGTAGTATTTTTTTTTTCTCGTTTCGTCTTTCTGTGGGACAAATTTTTCCGGAATTTTTTGTGAACGTACGTGGTGCTTAGAACGGAGAGAGCCCGGGAAAAATCAATTGGATTATCTGTTAATTTTTTTTTTTAATGGTGACGGTCTTCTTCCACTTTTCTGTCCACGAGGGAAAAGACTCCGATATTTCGTTTTTCTTCTTGTAGCTTTTTTGTATCTGTCTCTAGTCAGTGGAGGACTTGTCTAATATATTAAATGAATTTATATATACATATAAATAAATAAAATGAATAATTTTAATTTGTAAAGTCGATATGAAAATGATAGTCTAATGTAGCTTTTTCTATTGAAGATTAGACAATTGTACATTTTATCTAATAAATGAAAAAAATTAATAATAATATCTTATAATTTATTTATAAATTGTGAGAAAGGTGTACATGATTGAGGAATTAATCAAGAGGTAATCGGTGACTCTAGCCCTTGATTACCGCGATTGGTCGCAGTTTGATGCATTTTTTTGAGATTCCAGCTGCGTGGCAGGTGTTGACGACGTCAGTGACATTTTTGTAGGACTCTGGTGCCTCCTCCATCACGAGCTTTGGTGATGCTACTCTGATGGATATCCCGAGCTCGTGGAGTCGATCCAGGACCTGCTGGAAGTCCAGATTTCTTCGGGATTTGGCTCTGGAGAGGGCACGACCAGCCCCATGACATGTTGATCCAAATGTCTCCCTCATCCCCTGGTCAGTGCCTGTCAAAACGTAACTGCAGGTCCCCATCGTTCCACCAATCAGGACCGGTTGTCCTGTCAGCTGGTAGTCCACAGGGATCAGGGGGTGATGAGGTGGAAATGCTCGTGTGGATCCCTGGGAATTAAAAGAATAATAATTACAAATTGCAAATGCATTTTATGTGAACCATTAACTTGAGAATAAATATTTTTTTTTATACCTTCCGGTGGACCAAAAGGGTTTTCATTTTCCCATCGACCATGTGCTCCTCCACCTTCGCAATATTATGAGACACGTCGTAGATGACGTGCATGTCAAGGTCGTCAGGAGGCATCTCAAATTGTTTAGCGAATGCCTAGAAGAGTTAAAAAATTATCAACAATCATATAAATAAAAAAACTACATGTTTGTTCCAATAATAAAAAAATTTTGCAGACTAAAAATAATAAATTTCAATAATACAATGAAAAACTACAATTTTAATGAATAAATTTTATTTGTTGAATAACTAATTACGATTTAGTATCACTCACTTGTCTGGTGAGAAAAGTCATGGAGCTCCTGTTGACCCACGCAAAATTGGCAGCTGCAGCCATGGATTTGAGGTAATCCTGTCCCTCCTGGGAATTAATATGAGCACAAGCAAGCTGTCTATCATTAACATCAATGGAGTCCCTCTTCATGGCCTTCTCCATCTGCACAAGGGCATCAGTAGCGACCTGATGACCAAATCCCCGACTCCCCGAGTG